GGCCTGGTTTTGTGTTCCATACCATAAATAAGTTTGTGAGCAATGTGAAAAGGATAAGAAAAGTACGATAACCTCCCTATGCCACGATGGATGAAATAAGAACTATTTTTATCATTCATTAAGTAATACTGAACATAACTGGCGATACTGACACCAAAACTGTAAAGGAGGATAATACATGTAAACAGCAATGAATACATAGATTGTCAAATGTTATTGTACAACTACTCCAAAAAAAGAAAAAGTACATGTGAGTTCCAAAAATACTGTTCCATCTTTCATTTATTGTTTTGTTAACTTGATATAGTCATTATTATGACTGACAGGCCTGCAGAAATTTAATTACCCAGATGTTGAACTTTCCACTTTCCACTTGCTAATGCATGTTCCCACTGGTTAAATAATCTTTCAAAAATTTCAATTTTGGCTTTTGAGGTTTGTCTTTTATTTGGTCGTGTGTGTATATACTGTAAGCTAGAAAAACTAAGAAAAAATATCATATTTTTTGAGTAAATCTTCCATATTTTTCTGTAGCCATAAACCATGTCATTACGATAATAGTTAACAGAAATCATCTTTGCACTGTTTTCCTTACGACATCTTGTATATAGCTGAGATATATTTGTATTACTGTATTTCTTTATTTTATTTTACTTGTACAAATACATTTATATAATTATGCCTTATTTGACACATGTCTCTTACTATTTTGGCCACTTATGTTGAATTTGAATTTATTATGACCATTTATATTATTGTTCTTTGTTATTATGTGTGTGTGTGTGTGTGTGTGTGTATGAACATCAATGTGTATTGGATTGTGCGTCTGTATTGTGTATATGTGTATACTAAAAGAATTAAGTACGTATTCTTTCCTGCACTCATAAAAGATGAGGTTTGTGAGTTTTTCGTGTATGTTAATAGGGCAAGACAAAATAAGTTTTAAAACTTCAGCCTAAACCTCTTTGGTCTGTAGAATAACTTTAGCGATCTGCATAATTTCTGTGTTAAATCATTGTAATATAACATATGATTATGTTAACTGACCAAAGAAAATAAGATAAACTAACAGCATATTGTGATTTCCAAATAATTTCCCTTGTGGAGCACTAAAGAAAGTCTCAGTCTGTGTCTAAGTCTAACCAACAAAGCAATCTTGATTCAACGTCCTTATCACAGCTCACTATTGACAAAATTAAAACCCATTTGACTTTGACTTTACTGAAACCCCACACTGCACTCACTTAATGCACAGTGACCCAGGGCTCAAGTGGAGAGAGGAGCGATGGAAGCACTGGCTGTAAATCCAGGTCTAAAGGTCTGCACGCCTTTTTAGCTCCAGCGCCTCCATGATGAGTGACACCCTCCACTACGAGCTAGAGCACCCGCCACCGAACAAAACCTCCTCTGTTCACCCGCCCTGCGCCGAGAGCCTGAGCGCGGAGAAATCAGGCTCTATATTCTGTGTGGTGTATGGACGCCTCTCAGGGCCTGACCGCACCACGGACCGGCACCTTCATCTGAGCACACTGAGGCCAAAAGTAACACGCTTTAGCACCAGGGCTATAAATCTGAGGCCTCGCTAATCACAGGCAAAGAGTCACTAACTGGAATATAATGGGAGGTGTGATAAGGTTGGGAATAGGGCAGGTAGGGCATGATCCAATGTGCCGTGCAATATTTACGATAAGATAGAAAAGTTACATTTTAGATTTATTGCTATGAGAGAGAAAAAGATATTTGCCATCAGTATAAGTGATGGCATAAACAAAAAAGTCAAATCATGTATTTAACCACAGCAAGTACCCACAACAAGTATTCATACCCAGATACTAATTAAGACTAAACTTGTATCAAAACAAGAATCAGTCAGTATCAGCAGAAACAGAAACAGAAAAAGCTGTACCTTTCCTCAGTCTTGATCAGAGTTACTTTATTTTTGAACACTTTAAAATGTAAGAAAGCATAACATATACTTATGTACATTTAACGAAACACACATGAACTAGAATAAAATGAAGTACTCTGAAAATATGACTGACTGTTTGAAAAATACCATTTTGCATCACTTTTATGGTATCATCAGTATCAAGTATCAAGCCTTTTCCTTAAAAATATAATTGAAGTTTTAGTATGCACTAACTCAGAGTCACACAGCTTAAAATACCTGTATATTGTGTATGTAGCCAAATGTATTAAGTCAAATTTTGTAATTTCTTATGTTTTTTATCAATGGCATTAAGACAATATAAATCTGCTTCAGTAATTCATAAGATTATACTAAGATACATAATGGCAAAATAAAAAATTATTTGGAAACTGATATGGTTTACTGAAGTTGTATTTACGGTTCAAAATATGTATAGGTAATATTGTCATTACGCATTTGCAATTGCCATTGATCACCGGTGTCCAATCATAAAATCTATTCGAACAAGCGGAAGGATATGTCTGGAAAAGCGTATAATAATGCGATAACCTTTCCTTCCCAAAAACTACTGCTATCAAGCCTAATAAATGCAAATAGTTATCCCACTACAGTTTTAATGGAGATAAGAGTTTGAGTTCAGTGTCAATGACGTCTGATGTACGGAGAGGATTACTCATGCATGGCCCTGTGTATCGATGTCACTCTTACATAAGCAGTAGACCTCCTCTTCCTCCTCCCTCCCTCGGCTCCCCTGCACAGAGCTGGAGTCAAACCTCTGCCTTTGCACATTATGAGACACTAACAGAGATAATGTAAAACAAGTGAGACACCAAGATGATTCAGGCATGAGTGGTCACAGAATAAGACAAGCCAAATGTCTTCTCTTACACTAGAAAAACAAATAAAGAATGAGCGTACACTGATTTGCACTTTCATGTCTTTTGATAAACAATGGGTTTTGAAGTCTGCTCTACAATCAAATCAAACGCTGTGCTTTTCAAATGTCATTATTTAAATTCAGTCTATTTAAAATCATTTGACATTTAGTGATCTGTACCCAGTTGATGAAGGGCCCCATAAAAATTATAGTTTCCTCCTTGGTCCTTGATCCTGAATTTTAATTAAGCAGGAATATTTCAGTTTTAATGGGAAGTAAAACAATGTGGGGTTAAAGGAATTGATGGAAACCTCTCAGTAATTGATGATTTATCGATCTATCATGGTCAACTATGAGGTCAAATACACATTGTACATAAAAATATTAATATTTTTTGCAGTATTAGAATGTAATATGCATTCTAGCCAAAATGTAAGCAACATAGGCTTGCACATTATCTAACGTTTACAAGTCCAAACAAAGTCCCTGTACTGTATCCTGATATTGTATTGTCAAAAGTCTCACAATAATATCTTGGACCATAAAAATATATCAAACTACAGGCTCCTTTGCATAAAAGTGTTGTTTTGTTGTTGCAGCTAAAAAACAGAGGGAACCACATAAACCATGACCCTTTGCTCTGTTTCAGTGCGGAAAAAACAACTGTAATTAGGCACTTTTATGTCTTTCTTCTTTGAAATATGACCATAATGATTTGCACCAAAGTCTTGTCAGGGCCTTTTTAAAGCCAAGAAGTAGCACATCTACACTGTAAAATACCTAAAAAAATATATCATACCATGAGATAAATATTGTGATAATACTGTACGGAGAGATTTTCAATATTCTTACATCTTTTTAAAATATATTTAGTGCATGTGGTGTAGAACTGTGAAGAGAAAGAAACAAAATGGAGTGAGCAGTGAGCAGGGGGATTAAAAATGTGACTTGGTGAGTGACTCTCCGGCTGTTCCAGATGTTTATCAGGTCATAGGGTCTCAGCTACAACACTCACAGCTCATGCTCCCTCACAGTCCCTCACAGAGCACGAACCAGTAAGCTTATCACTCCCTCCCTCTGAGCTGACAACACAGATCTCATACATTTCAAACTGGAACATATTTGAACCAAAAAGAGGCTTTCAGATTTGTTTAAATTACTCGTAAATGGTGAATAGTCACATTTTTATACAGCGCTCAAAGCTTTACATCAAGGAACCACTCACTCATTCACATACAAACAACATACAACAGTGCATGCAGACATTAGGGGTGAGGAGGGTTAAGTGTCTTGCCTAAGGACACAAGGACAGCATTCATCTGTGGGAGCTGGAATCGCACCTGTGGGTCAGTGGATCTTGATGGTTTATGTTGAGAGTGGGATTCAAACCACCAAGATTTTGTCTGTGTCTATAGTTAGGGTGGATAAAAGAGAGTAAATGTCATATGAGAAAATTTATGTCTCTGGGGATTTTTCAGTTTTGTGGAGTGTTTATCATACTTGAGAACACTTATACTTAGTGGGAATAAGGCTACACAATGAAATAAAAACTTCAAAATGCTTAGATGCTTCAGATGATTCATGAGTGCCAAATGTGATGAGAAGTAATGAAAAACTTTATGAAAAAAATGAGCAGAAGGTTCACAGATTGTCACGTGTTCTATATGAATAATTCAGACATTTATGCGTCTTAACCAACCCGGTATAAACCCATTTGGACACGGCTGCGCGTCGTTTGGCCGCGCCAGGCGTGCGTACTGAGCGCTCGGATTTGGCACGAGCGCAGCAGTTGCAGTGTGAGACAAGATTTTAGTGATCAGACATGCACACACACAAGATCTGTTATTCCAGTTCCCAAGCCCTGGTTAGCACAATACATCAAAAACGTGCAAAGACAAGTAAAGTAAAGCAAAGGAATAATGTAATTTTTCCATGGATGTTTTATGGCGCGCTCACTGATTTACAAGTTCTAAGAGTCTATTTCTCTACCGCGCATCGTTAAATCTTGGTTATGAATGAACAGAAGGCGCCCCTAAACTCTTTCCAGCGGATTTCATAAAACGGGCTTTTGGCCAGACCTGAACCACATGTAAAGCTCATCAGATGTTGTTTTGGTCAACACATGTCTTTGTAGGTGAAGTAGACTGTGTGAGTGGGACAGCAGAAAAAAGGCAAATATGGAAAAGTTCTTACCGAGATACTGGCGGATGTCTAGCAGGATCTGAGGGGGTCCTCCGTTGAGCTGGTAGAGGATCGATCCGAGGCAGAAGACGAACAGCGTGCCCATGCAGAAACCATATCCTCGGAGGGAGACCCGGAGCGACGCGGCGCCCGAGAGGAGCCCGCTGCTGCTGCACTTTCTCCCGTTTCGCTCTCGGATGTGGTTCGGAGTCTGCCCGTTGTTGTGAAGAGTATTGCCGCTGTAATTCTTCATCATCTCCTCCTCACAAAGCTCCCCCAAAAGTCACCCATTCGCCTTTGAGAAGTAACACTCGTCTTTTTAGGTTCATTTGAAGCATCCAAGCTCTCCTTCGCTCCTCCGCTATGTTGCTTTTTTACGCACAGTCCACGTTCACTTCTGCTTTCGTCTGGTGACTGCTCCTTCCGTCCGTCCTACCAGCGCAGTTAAAAGTCCATCCTTCTTCAGAGTTTTGGGTGTCAGATTACCGCTAAACGTGGAAAACCGGGGGAAACTTCCACTTCTTCACTCAGGATTTGAAGTAGCCCAGTAATGCGTAAAACAGCGACACCGAGTGGCAGTGAGTACAGGGAACGCGCGCAGTGAAATGAATCTGATATGTGACAGGCCACGGGGAACAGCGACTCAAGCTTAGTCAAGTGTTTGAAGGCGAATCAGAATTTCAATGTGGGACTCCCAGTGAAGCATATATTGATTATGGTGCGAAGAAGTTGGCATTTAATTTAATCAACTTTTGCTGCGGCAGACAGAGCATCAGTACTTGACATCTTTTACTTGCTGTAAACTTTCTCTTTCCCCTAAGGCCAGAGGTAACACTAAGCACACATCAATCACAGCTCAGAGCCCTTCCTCCTCATTCACTCATCCACAGGCACATGTCTGGGAGGGACCAGGTGGACCTCTAAACAACCTATCCAAACTATTTAACTTTCACTTGGAAGTCGTTTTGTTAAGAAAGGTCACTAAGGTCCCAACTTTGAGGTAAGATCTGAAGGATAAGTTCTTAAACAGAGGTAGGTAGAGTGGACAAAATTTGTAATCATATTATTATACAGGCTAAAGTAAAAAGTAGGGACCCAAATAGTTATTGAAGTAAGAGTAAAAAGTATTTGGTGAAACTACGTGCTACCGGAGAGTACTTGACTAACAGTGTACGTAAAAGGCAACTGAAATATGACTTACACGTTACTATAATGAAAAAGATAAACCATTACATATAAGCAGATGCTGGTCATTACAAAGAGTAGACACAAAATTTACACACACACACACAAAAAAGGCTTTTGTGACTGTAGATTTACTCTCAGAGGTAAGAATATTGTTGTAAAATTATTCTTACTTTAAATAAGATTTTACTCATGTGGAAGTAAAAATAAGGTGCCACAAAACTACCCAAAAATATCAGTGGTGGAGATAGCAATTTGGGGGCCCTAGGTGAATTTGAATTTGGGGCCCTCACTTTAATGTACTGTTTATTGTTTATTTGTTTTGTTTTGTTTTTTAATTTATTGTCTATTTTTCCTCTTTGTTGTTGAGACATGCACATCTCTATTTATTTGAATTATGGTGGATTGGAAACTTGTCTTAGTTTTATTTTTTTACTAGTGCAATTATATTTTGTTTACATCCTTTAGCTACGATTATGATTATTGTTTAAAAGTAAACTACTCTCATTTAATGTCATATTGAGAGAAAATCAAATTGCTCTGAGGCCTCGGTCATTAGTGGCACTGAAGGCAATTGGTTGGGGGCCCCTCCAGGTTAGGGGGCCCTAGGCAGCCACCTACTTTTGCCTAATGGCAGCACCGCCTCTGCTTAAAATTACACCTTCAAGTAACTGAGTAAATGTAACTCAGTACTACTCCCTTCTGTATATGAAATATACTAAACCTTCTTATCCCAAATGTTATGCAATTTTTTTTTTTTTATTCTCCCTCTCACTGAATATAAAACAGCTGTTATAGTGTATGAATACAAGATTTCATGCCCTGTACAACATGGCAGGTCCCAGCAGGAGAGATCCCATATTGAAGAAGTTAATTGTGCGTAGTATTCCTCTTGTCATAACTGGAATTTAGGAATGCTTTGCTTCACATTTTAGCCCCAAAGAGTACAGAAAATCAATCAGTCACAGCAAGAGAGGTCATTTCATCTAATAATTTGCAACAAGGATTCATGTGACCACAGTGATTCAGCTGTCTGATATTCACTACCGCCATTTATTGAAACTATCTTGCTACCAAATAAAACTGCAAACTTTACACTCATATTTATATCACTCATTAAATGTTTAGCTCCTAAGTTAAGGTATTAAAAGACAACTCTCTGGCCTAAGTGACATTTATTGGATACCTTTAAAATGCCACCAGTATATAACAAGTATAACGGTGTAAAGTGGCCCTGGGTAATTGGAAGTTGTCTGCAGCAAAGTTTTTATCCGCTCCTTTTAGTGGAGGAAGAAGTACTAGTAGTAACCTAAAAGTAAAAGTACAGATACCGGAGCAAAAAAAAAAAAATACTCAAGTAAAAGTATCACATGACAAAATCTAAGATATTAAAGTACCTGTTTAAAAATGTACTTAAACTGTAAAAAGTAAATGTATTTCACACAGAGGTCTTGTAAAGCTTCAAATATAGTGATTTTGATAAAGAATCATGCTGAATTTTGTTCAACAGAAACAACTGAATCTATTTTTCTTGTTTTATTTGTTTACTTTTGTTTGCTCAAACTAGGAACATGTTAAAAATAAATCCTTCAAGCTTTTCAGCAGATCTTAAGACAACAATAAAAGAATACTTTTACTTTTCAGTCCAGTTAAAAATTGTAGGAGCAGAAAGTACAGATACCTACTCTCAAATGTAGTTTACTCAAAATTTTGTCAACATTTACTCAACAGATAGCTGATACCAACAGAAACAGATACCAACAGCATAGTATTTTACTACTTTTACTTGATTACATTTCACAATTGACTATTTGTCTCATTTTGTCTTGATATAGAAACAAACACCTTATGGCAAGAAACATTTTATTATATTTTAGAATGACAAATAGTTATGGACATGACATTTTTGTTGGTTTTCAATACACAAGCAAATCTGTATGGACAATCATTAGGTAGATGAAAAACCAAATAAAATACTCATTTGTACATATATTTTACAATACATAGTGTAGAGTTCCTTACTGGCTAAAGCAATATGCATTATGCAGAAAGGTATTGCTATTCATATAGTACAGCTAATTACAGTCAATATGAAAAACAAAAAAGCAAAAACACAAAATAAGTTATTTAAATATCAATTACATATATAGAATGTGCAACGAGCATTTCATATATGTAATTAAGACTGAAGTAACTGAAATGGATAAGGTTGTGTGAATGCTTACCAAATTCACTGTTGGGAAGGTAATACTAAAATACCCAGCATAACCCATTTTACATAACCTGATGATGACATAGGGCCAAATATAGTCAAATTCATGAAAAGAAAAACAGCTAGGATTACCTTCTAAAGTGCATTTACAGTGTCAGTATCTCAGTTACTAAACACACATTTTGTAAAACCTGGCCCCTCAACTCTTTCTCTCACAGAGCACCATTTTGATTGAAGCGGAGATAAAGGCATCCATCGTCTATCTAAGTGCCCACTGCAAAACGTATTGAAATGTAGCAAAAACAACACTAAGTTTTCATAGAGGAATATAAAGTACTGTGCAAAAGAAAAAAAAAAGGTCCTATATTACACAAAATTGACTCTTGTGAGCTTTAAGCCATGTTATAATGTTCTTACCTTCTCAAACACATACTCGGAGTTGTGTGTTGTGTTTTAGTCTGTCTACATCTGGTTTTCAACAACTAAGTTTGTTCCTTTGTTCAGTAGAGATTGGCAATTCCAAGGCCGAAATTTCCCAAATGATTCCAGTGGAGGTGTATGGAGTTTAAAAAACATAGTGAAGCACTTCCTGTATTACAATAAGGTAGAACAGTGTTTTCAGTTTGAGGGAAAAACACAGCCAAAATATGCAGGGTTTGTGTATTAAACATTGCGAATAAAACAAAACACAGCTCCAGGTATGTTTTTGATGAGGAAACATTAAAACATAGATCAGAAAATAGCGTAATATGGGCCCTTTAAGCAATATTTTTAAATGCAAAAACCTACACATTATAATTCTGTTTGTGGTAGCGATGTAGTCTCAAAATTGTATTAAAACTCACATATCTCAAAATCGAATGTTGTCCTTGGTCCAAACCTTTCCAGTCCTGACAAAACTGAAAATTAAAGTACTCAATAAATTCTTCTATAACCCTTTGCACAGCACTATATTTCTGTTTTTTGAAGATAAGGAATGTTTGCAAACTCAATTTATAAAATGAGCTTTTGAGTAATGACTATAGGTGTAATGGCCCATCTTGTCTCCCTGATTAATTGGTGAGTGCACCAAATGTTGCAAGTCACCTGATATGGCACCGTTTCTATCATTCAAAAGTTCAATTTATTCAATTCAAAAAGTAATACAATAATATGTTAACAAGTCTATTAGCCTGCCTAAATAAGACTGTTAACGCATTCCTGTGCAGATGTCAGCTGTGCCTTAGGAAAGTCCTTGTAATGTACTGCCTGGCCAAATATTTTTTCTGTTTTGTAACACTTTGATTAAAATAAGGCATTTACAGGGAATGTCTTGATAGTGTGAAGTTTATGCTGTCAAATTTAAGATTTTTGATGTAACAAGTGAACAAAGCATGTATATATACGAGAATACAAAAGTGTAAGTTGTTTTAGCTTAAAAATGACTGGCATCAAAACAAGGCGGCAACGTTAAAAAGGCAAAAAGAAAACCAAAACACACTCATTTAAATTGTGTTATAATACAGAAGCATGATACAAGATAAGCCATATTTCCAATCTCCAAAAAGCAGTGATGTATTCTTCAATGGTGAGTTGATGTGAAGTCCAGATACTGAGAATCTATTAAGAAGCCCATTAAATCAAATTCCTTTGGCCGAGCTACATCCGTTAAGAGACTCAAAGATTATGGTGCCATGCCGCAAGCACTTATGAAATATGCAGGAAATAAAATGTCTCTCTGCATTACAAAAAACACTAGAAAACAGTGTGCTTTCTTCCTCAAAGGCAGATCCAAGTCTAATCTATAAGACTTTCTTTAGTTGAAAAGGCATCTGTTAAGTTGTCCGTAAACATTTGAAAAGTGAAGGGCAGTAATGGATGTCTCACTGTCCATGTTAAAATACTGACCTTTCGAGTCCTTTACATGTTACTATACCACATAAGGGACAGTCCAGAGTGGTTAGGACCCTCCGTTTGGGCTGACCAGGCGGGACTCGTGCACTAGTCTGCGGACGTGCCTCTCGTCTCGTATCCCTGCCTCCCAAACGCTGCTCTCCGTCAGTGAGGTGACCTGGGGCAAAGTGACGATGCCTGCAGCAGCCAACGGGGCAGCGTACATGGGCAGGCCGATGGACACCAGCCAATCAGAGACGGTGGTGATGTGACCCACGGGGAAGAGCTTCCTGGAGATCTCCGTCTGACCTCCAGATGGGATCTAAGGAGTAATACGCAATTTAATAATGCAACATAATAATATTCATGAGTAATAATTAGGTTTTGTGATGTCTGAATTGCAGCCTTTCTGACCACCAACAATCACTCACACAAACACAGCACACACATACATAGGAAAGGCAGGTGAAGTGCCCAAGGACATAATGTTTTATTTTATAGTTTTGTAGTGTGGGTTTGTTAAATGTAAGAACAAAATATTACATCAGTTACTATAAAAAATATTTTTACTATGGGAATTATGTGTACACTCAACCATGATATTGTTTTATTTACAGGCATGTATCATTTTCCATCTATTTAATCTTTTAAAAAAGTTGCCTGTTATAAATTATGAAGAACTCAGACTATTTTGTAAGTTCTTAATGTCTTAAAAACAGGTGTCTTCCATGCAGTGACTCTATGTTTGTTCAGTCTGTACAGTGTAGAGAGACAGAGGCAGTTAGCTTACAGCCATGCGGTGCTGTTTACGCAGCTCTCTGACCCGGAGCTGGTCCAGCGAAGAGGCCACGTCCTTCAGAGGCTGCTCCACCTCCTCAGAGTAACGCTGCACCAACAGCTGAGGAATGCCAAAGCGCCCGTGCTAAAGAGAACAACAATGGAGAGGAAGACCACAGATTACTAGAGTTTCTCATAAAAGGTTATGATTATGCAACATTGCAACAGGTAAACACGCAATTCAATGGCAATTATATCTGTGACAAATTTAACCTGTATATACATGTTAACTTTGGCCACTAACGTACACAGAAAGACCCAACCCAAAACATGCTACACAGGTCTTCAGGAAGAACAACTGATAGCTAAGGACAATTAAAATACAATCAATCAATGAATCTGCCCAGGGACTACAGGTGGAAAATAGCACTGGTGCTACAACTTGGCACAGTGCATCTCTCCTGTTAAGGTTAATGTAAATTGTGCACTATCCCTGTCTCATTAAATAAATAAATAAAATAAAGCTAAAGTAATCTATTAATAATATGCATAAACACTAGACCTCTACTAAAACATCTTCAAAGGTTATTCATTTTGTGTTTGTTAGGGAGGCCATATGTTCAACAATATAATGACAACACACAAAGCAGACAATTTGATGAGGCAATTTCTAAACTTAAAATTGATGAAAACAACCACTAATCTATGTAATCCCCTTTTGCAACACAACACAGGAGTTTATTTTAAGAAAGATTAGAAATGGCCATATTGCCATATTGGCTGTGATTATAGAATAATATGGCAGTTACACACTTTATCAATTATGAAATTAATATTATTATTATTTTAGCATTCCATATTAATAGACAAAACAAATGAGCCTAGACAATGCCCTAGGTGTTTTCTTTCCTTCCACTCTTTTCTAATAAGCCCTTTAGGACCTATAATCTGGTCTGACACCTCATCGCTGGGAGCCTGTTTGGACCTTGTTTTGTTGCCAGTGTTGGGGGATGTACAGCTCTGATGGGGCCCACTCCGGGGTAAGAGTTACAACACAGTCTGAGATCCAGACCATAAACTTAACAGACTTCACCACATCATAGAGCCAGCACACAGTCGTCCCCCACCACTCAGGCTCTTTATTTATGCACTCCCTCACACATCTATATTTAATACTCGCTCTGCATGTACATGTGTCAGCACCACTCATATATGTATATATATACACTCACTACTATGGAGGATCTGAATGCAACAAGTGCTCATTCCCGCTGACTGGGCTGGATGACACATGGACTAATGCAGAGTTTATGTGTTTTCAGTGCCGTGCCAAGTAAACTTATAAAGCCATTACATTGACAGCCTCATGGGAATCATTATAAGCTTGGGGAAAGTGAGCTCATATGTTTTTATGCTAGGTTATGCTTGGTTGTTTTCATCAAAAAAGCTATGCTGTTGATTGTTTCAAAGGAGTAATGTCGATGTTTACTCTGAAAATGGATAAACAAATTAACCACAGTCAATGAGAGTAATTATTTCAAAAATGTCCAATGGTACTTTCTGTATACATTGTCTTAATTTCCCCACAGTACTTAACAATACAAACCTAACCATTCCCACTTAAAAGATATTCCCAAAGCAATTAAGATATCAGGGAATTACTATCCATCAGATGAGGTAAAATTAGGGGGCTGCCATAGCAATAAACAGACAACATCTCTACCTCTTCAACAGGTCAAAAGTCCTCAAAATGGCCTCCAAAATAGGAAAAAGTATGTTGCCTAAAGCTTTGCACTGTGTTTTATATAATCAAACTGCATGCATAGTACACAACATCAGTTACTGTAATGATGCCAAATACTTGCCTACAACTATAACTATGCTCAAATATTAGAATGTAAACTAGTTCATACATGCCGTCTTTATTTTATATTGTATCATCTTACCTTATCTGAATAGGGCTCCTCCGTCAGATCAATGCCCTCCACCTCCAGCCGCTGCTCCAGGATGGTCAGCAGATCGGGACTCATCTTGGAATGGGACACTTTCCTGGACACCGCCACCTTTCCCCCCAGGTCCGACAGCCAGGGAGGGGTCACCGTGTTGCCCGATTCCTCCCCCACCGAGGAGGCGGACGAGGAGTAGCACGGGCTAGCCGGAGTGCTGTTTGAGGGGGTCTTCGCCGGGAGAGGGGGAGGCGGGGGTCCTGGGCTGCTGTTGGTGCTTCGTATCACCGGACTGCTCGGATGGGACCTATTGAGTGAGTGGGTGGGGGAGGGCGAGGAGGGGAGGGAGAGGGGAGCGTGGCGCAGACCGTTGGTGAGGCGCTCACGGGACTTCTTAGCCGGAACGGGCGGGGGCACTGGGGGCTTTTTGGGATGCGTTTTCGGAATTATCTTTTCACCGGTGGATTCAGGTGGGCTCGTCGGGGGGCTAGACAGGAGTTCAGGGACAGTTGGTGAATTTGGGGTAGAACAAGAGGGTCTAAGTGTAAGCTGGGAGGGCACTGGCGGTCTCGATTTCGGACTTAGAGGAGTTCTGTTTTGCTTTTTGGGGCTGTTTAATCTAGCTTTCTCCAATGTTGCTCTGAACTCTGCGCTAGATTGCTCAAACCGGATATCCCCTAGTGAATGGGACCTCTTCCATGGACCCTGGTGCTGAGAATGTCCATCCAAGTCTTCACAGCTGCGACTAGACGGGATGGGGGAGCGTCTTTGGGACCTGCGCAGTCCGAGGAGGTTGAATCCCTTCAGAGACTGCTTGGAAAAGAGGTTTTTAGGGAATTTTGTGCGTTGGTGGTTGCCGTTTTGCTGCAGAGCCTCATTGGAGATGGTCATAGGAAGGGTGGGGTAGTCTGGAGACTGCAGACCCCCAGAGGAGCGACTAGAATGGGAGGTTTTTCTGCTTTTACCTGCAAAATAAAACAGTAAAAATGTTGAGATGAAACAACATTTACTATATGATTCACTTCTCTAATTTAACCAATATAACTATTACTCTTTTCCCCAGTTCCCACAATTAGGGTTTTAATGTGCACTGAGGAAGTTACAAGAATGACATTTAGTAAAAGGAAGTAGCACAAACCTCACTACTGTGCCCTTAAGAAATGTTATGTTGGCTAAAGGTGGCAATACAAGACACTGTCAAAAAGTGCATTTCTGAAAATATTTTGAGTATAAAATTAAATGGTAAAACATCAAAGCATTTATGGGGTGTTAATATTTCTTGAGGGGACAGTAAATCAACAAAGAGCTGATATGGCAACATTTACAAATAAATAAAATTATGAAAACAAAGGCAAAATAAAGAAACTTACCATGACTCGTCACAGTTTATAGAGAATGGATGGGTGAAATGTGAGACTCATTTTAAACAGTGAACGAAGGAAGGAAAAGAAGACATGGATGCCATGAGATGTCAAAGGCTGTGTTAAGAAATGATTAGAACTAAGAAAGTCTAAACATCTACATGAGCAAGAATAGCAGAAGTAAGCTATACAGTAAGACAAAATGTTTTAGAAAGACATCCTGAGAAGACTGTTAGTTTGTACTATTAACTGAACATTCAACAATATATTATCATTTACTTTCAATGGGCATTGTGACTGCCTGGAGCCATTTTTCATTGAATTTTGCATGGAGGTGAAAATACCTGTACTATTTAGTTATGACTAGTTCAATTAAAAATGATTATCGCAGTTTGTCTGGTTAAATACATGTACAAGTACAGATGTATAAGAGTTAAGAGTTGTTTTTATGTAAGCATAAAGACATGTCAGTCACATCCTCCACAGTCTGTATATGTACCCAGTGTACAAACCTAAAAGTACCCGAGAACGCAGAGCACTAACACTAATGTTATGTAGCTAATAGGTGATCAGTGCTTAGAGGCATGGGAGGAAGAGGAGGCAGAGAGGAGGCGGAACATAAAAAAATGAAACCATGATGTACCAGAAAGTCCTTTATTTAAAGGAGAGGATTTGTCTACAGTGGTAATCTCTAAAGTGGCAGATTGCACGCTTACTGAACATCTGAACCAGAAGAACACAGACACTGGTGCCAACACAGACAGATAGACAAGCTTATTGAGCTGTGATTCATACGCTTTTTAACTGTTCATTAGAGTGAATACAGTCATTTGCAAGATAAGGGACATAAAACTCAAAAATAAAACACAAATTTCTAAAATAACTTTTTTCTTATACACCAAAATTAAAACTATTTTCATCCATTTGTTTTAGGCACATACTGAATGAATGCTTGAGCAACATTGAAATGGTAACAGTGGAAGTGAAGAGCAGTAAACTGTCAGCAGTAAACTAGAACTACCACTGCAATAAAGACAATTTAGCAACATGCTACTGCATTAAGTGAAGACACTTAACAGAAGTATTCTCTTAAACTATATTCATCTTCCACATAACCGCCTTGGGCATCGAGCACTGAGGCAGCTGGGAAATTGAGTCCATGACTGGGCAATGACCTTGCTCTCACCAGAACAGTTCTTTGCAAAGGTCTGCTCCTGTTTGCACAGGCTCCCATCATTTTGAGTTGGGCAAGGTTCAGGGGTCTGGGGGCAGGCTGGCTCACACTTACAAGTGGACTTTGGCACTTGTGACACAGAATGCCTAAAGAATGAAAAGAAGTGAAGAAAGTATGGAAAAAACAAACAGTAAAAAGTATAGGAAGCTCAGAAACGATGAGTGTTTGATTGGCAGGTCCAAAGAAGCGGTATGTTAGAAAGCAGAAGCATAGCGATGGGCTGGGATGAGGTCAGAGTCACTTGGGGCAGCTATGGCAGGCTACATGGCACTAGTCCAGGGTGTGCTAACAGCTAGTCTAACTGTAGCTGTCATTACCATTCTCCAGGTTCTCATTGCTCTCGTAGCAGCCAGAGTCCCGAGGGGAGTCTCCCACCAGACCACAGCCCTCCGACAGCAGCTTTTCCTGGGAACCACACAGCCCCCCGCGCTCCGGATCACTGCTGCCTGCAAGCACAAAACACACAGCACATTTGATTCCAGTTTATTTATTTTACAGCTTGATAACCTGCTTTGACTTCAGAGCAGGAGTTTTTGGTTTCCACATGTGAGTGCTACAATTCAAAGGATCATGCGAGTACATTTTTGGAGAGTGAGAATGTCAGAATCAGTTCAAACATAAGCTACCTAGAATTCTATTATTTATTCTTGGTAATCACACACACAATATGATGTGATAACAAGACTGATTGCCCGCACAAGCCGGAAAAACAACTTGGGAACTCGGGCCAAAACTTTCTGCCTGGCTTCTGCACGTGACGTCACCTGCGCTGTACAGATGAACAAAAAGCGGATTTGTTTCTTTGTATCTTGCACATTGTAGCTCTTTGAATAAAAGTAGCTGCATTTAGAGATTTAGTGAGCTTCCTGTTATTATAAGAGGAAGAGAAATTATGCAAGACAAATCTGTTGTCCCTCTGTGCGTTACAATTGATAAAAAAGTTAAAAGTTTTTATGAATTCAAGTTTGCGGAGTCCGTCCCTCTAACAGTATCTGTAGTGTCTGGTGTAACGGAGCACTCACTGTCATACTCCTGCAGCAGCTCTACAGCAGTCAGCAGCACCGCTCTGTGCTGAGGGTCTCTGATGTTCAGCTCGTCCAGATCCTCCTCCTCCAACAGTTTAAACGTGTCCAGATCTTCATAACCATTAAACAGGAAAGTGGGCATGTGCTCCTGTCACACAAAAAAGAATTCTGATTAATTATAGAAACAAATTACAATGTCTGCTTAATATATAAACAAACAAAACACAAGTCTAGGTATGTTTTAACATGGCGTTAAAGCTCATAAGAGTCAATGTTGTGTAATGTAGGACCTTAATAACTTTAATGTGGCAATCTCTGTGATGGTACTTGCTTTGATTTGGCAAAGATTTGATGTAAGATGCCCTTCCTGACACAATAATTTCATCTACATTTACTAAGTAACAAAAAGTAAACTGGCTGATGACTCTCTGGCTACTTCTGTGTGTGGTTTTGCTTTTGCAGCTGACAATAGTCCAAAACCGCAAATCTCAAAGAAATGAAAGCTGTAATAACTTGATTTTGTATGTGAAAGAAAATTAGCAATGTATTTTAGTTTGTTTTATGCAAAGGTAAAGGAAACAATAGCAGACAATAACTGAAAAGCCACTTGTGATAGTGAATAGTGCCAGTGGCTACATAGGCACAGTAGTAACAATAGAGCCTACCCCGAGTTGTCATCTGTAAGTCATTTCCTAGACACCAGTTTTATTTTTAACTCACTGGTGAACCAAGATCTAAACAGTTACTGCAATTCCAACCAGCCATGTAATCATGTTAAGTAACAGTAAACACATGGGTAAAGCTCTAGACAGCATATTAAGTAAATGTTAGTAAGCTCGCAACCCAACGCAAACGCTGTAGCCAAAAGGGTGCACTCCGCCAAACTTAAGTGGGACTAGCAGCTTCGTAGGTGGAGACGAGTACATCAAAGTTACCCGGACACCACACCAAAGCCAGTCTCTAACCACTACACTATCGAGAAACAAGGGACAAGAAACGCCCTTTTGTAAAATCAGTTGACATCACCGTCCAATGCTGGTGGCTGGGCTTGTTTGCCTGTTGTAGACTGTGTGTCACCAGAGAGACCATCAATTACAATGGGAGATGCTCTGAGGAGAACGCGCCGTGTTTTTTTCTGCTATTTCTGCCGACTGACGGAGGACTAAACAAAAGGACCACCAACGAGCACAGCAGAAGCTCTCATCTGGCTCTACTCTCACTGCCTGCTCTGTTTGAGGTTATTTCTGAAGATATACAAGGTCACAATGAACCAAACAGGGACTCAACAGCTATCAAAAATGCAGGAGAAGCTACAACAACAAGGAAGCATGTGTTGACGTGTTTGATGGTGGAAGAGAAACCAAGTACAGTTGTGTGAAAGTTGTAACTTTTATGAATTATACATACGCAGATCTGGAAGCCATACCTATCATTGCCTGTGAAAGAACACTTATGTGCAGTCTAACAAAGCACGATCTAAAGATTCATGCTTGACACTAATATCTTCTGAAGAATATAAATACTCAAAATGTAGGAGTGTGTGAAAAATATCTGTATGACTACAACAGGGCGACCAAATTTTCAAAATAAAAAACTGGGATGACTTTTTTGGTGGTTTGTAATAATAAAATTGTGAAACATGTGAGTAATTAAGGAAAATTGTTCTGCAGAGACCATTCCTGACGAACTTGTGAGTCAATATAGTCACATTTTCTTTGTGTTTTGGTCATTTTTAAGCAGTTTTTCTGTATTTTACCCAAACAAATGACAATTTATGCCTCTCGTTACTGATACTGCAGGGCATTTTTGTATAAAACTGGGACAAATCACTGGTTTTGGACAAATCTGCAGGGACAGGGGACACAGGGCTCAAAACTAGGACTGTCCCAGGTAAATAGGAACGTCAACCTAGACTACTATTACACTATTACTACAACTTATCCAAAATCTTGGTTCAAACTGTTTTCTACAGTTGAAATATTTCTAATTTTTATATGACAGAATAATAATTTTCAAATCTGTATCAAAAATAAACATATATGACATGTTTAATAAAATGTTTAATGAAATGAATAATCTTAAATAAATTACTTCATACGACTGCTTTTACACAAGTGGCTACAATACACATTAAGAGGAAAAGATTTAATTAAGGCCATCTTATCTTCAATTTTGATCTTATCTTAAAAGATTCCTGAAAAATATTGTTTCAACATGATACTAAGCTTGTGTCCACTGCAGTAATAGACAGCCAGTAGGGGAGATCTATGATTTTTGTGAACCCCTCAGTATGAATAATGACACAGTGTACACTCTTTAATCCGTGTGTGTCTGGGTCTGTCTGAGGAGAGCTGCTCCTGTCTGCGGGGCAGTGGGAGGAGACGCTCTGAGCTCTACTACTGTGTGGGTTCATAATTAAAGATAAGAGAGATTTGTCTGTGAAGAAAGTGGGTGTTAGTGTTTGTACACAAATGTCACTTCAAACGATTTATGTAGCACACCCCATAATCACCATCACTTTACATAGTACTTTATCACTGTCTGTAAGTGTACATCTTTTCAAGAGACTAATGTACCTCCAGGCTTTTTCAAAGTTCTATCTAAGGCCCTTTGTTGATATTGACAACAGAATACAGAATACCCACCCAACTTTAAATAACACTTTTTATAATGATGGTAGGTTGGTGGAGTACACGCTTTCACTTATCTTTTTATAAGGGTTTGGGGTGGGCACAAAGATCACATTGGCTTGTGGCTCATATGACTGAATCAGTTAGCAATGCTCACAATAACTATTTAAAGTGCATAGGCCCTTGCATGTGACATAAAATAAGAGTTATTTAGTATTCAAACGCCTTATACTGATAAAGTTGCATACAAATTAGAATGATGTTAAGCTAACTTGAGGCTAAAATGTGTCTTGATTTTGACCCTTGCAATGTAAACAATAATTAAAGAGGACCTAAAGCAGTGCTTGCAATGCTTAATAAAAATAATTAAGAAAAATAATGAACAAAATGTTATGTTTTGATGAGCACCTTGAGGTTGATCCTCTCCAGCAGCTCCTCCACAGAGGTGGGTTTGGGAGCCCGGCCCTTCCTCCTCCTCCTCACCGGGCGCTTGGGCTTCTCCTCTTCCTCACTAAGGACGTCCACGTAGATGAACTTGAAGGTGCCCACTTTGTTGTTGAGGAGCCCCATCCATGTGCCCATGGGCGGCTTACTGATGATGTCGATCACATCACCGCGCTACAGGACAGAAGCAGTGTGTAAGGTCAATAGGAATGAACCCTCTGTATTTTAGCTTAAAATGTAATATTTCATAAGAGTATTCTGTGAGACAATAACCTACTGTAAAAACAAAACTCCTGGTAATTAAACGGCCTATCTACAGAAATACCTTGCCTAAGGAAAACAAAAATGTATCTGCTTTCAGTGCCTTGAAGGTGGAAAAGAGCTAGATAAAAATGTGACCATTTACTGTTTATCTCATAAAAAGCAGGCAAATGAAATATTTGTTTACTAGTACAGTTTTTCAATTTAATTAAAAAGCACTTTTCTACGAATAATAATTCATAGGATGGATAAAGCCCCTTCCAAGACACCCAAATGACTTTACATTGCATTATTCATTCACTCCACACTCAGCAGTGGTAGCTTCTGTGTTAGCCACAGCAGCCCTGACACAGACTGATGGAAGCAACACTTAGGAACAGACCACATTTAAACGGCAAGGTTTTTCCACCAGACACAATGACAGTTTCCACTAGAGCCACTGCTGCTCCAAATGATAATATCATAGTTGGATATTGCACAAGTACTGGCAGAACAAGCTGTTTCTTGAATAACAACTGAAAAACTACAGCTATTAAAACTTCAAATTCCCTGTACCTTGAGTTTGAGAGAGTCAGTGTCATAGGGGCTGGGGGTGAAGTCGGTGTGCACTCGTGCTCTCCCACAGAAGGGCCCTCTGTACGGAGGCTCTTCATCATCACCATCCTCAGACTTCACACTCTCTCTGTTACTGGCCGACGAGTCTGTGGTGCTCACCGTCTGACCACCTGCACATACAAACATACAGTCATACACTCCTCTTCTGTTTTTTACAATACACTTAATCTGTTTTCATTTTCACTACAGCGTAAATGATGAGGGTTATATTTTTGGGGATAATACCTCAGACAGTTCAGTGTATATTTTAAGTTCTAAAATTTGCTATTGTTAGTACGCAACATTTTGATTTAATATAGCAAGATCAACATAAACGCTCATGTTTCTTTTTGTATCATTGTGAAAACACCGTGTAATCAATAGCAAAGACGTTCTCTTGGCCAACCATCTGGGAGTATGACTCACTGCAAACTAGAATTTGAGAGCCGGCAATCTCAACAGCCCAAAAAGTGCTCCAGCCGCTAATGATTTACAGATACTGATAAAATATAAGGTTCCCCACAATTACTTATGAACTGTGTACTATTTGGAAGACGCAACAATGTTAAGAAATAGATTATGCATCACTTTTGACAAATTTTCTCTAACAGAGGTAGACAGGATTTAGATTCAAGAATTAAAATAATGTAAATTAGGTATAAATGAGAGTTTTACACAAATCGAGAAGCAATTTGAGAGGAGTTAAAACATATTACAGGAGTATTACAGAGGTTTTTTTTTAGAGAGTTCCCTACTGATGATACTGGGAAAGATTCTGTCCAAAAGTTTGGCACAATTTACACAAGAAAGACATTTTTTTCTGACTGTTTAAACACAATTTCTACAAAACAAAGGTGATTTCGGTATTTTCTTATATATATATTTGGCAAATAATAATCTCTTTGTGAATTTGAGGAATTTTGGCCTAGTGTAATACATGGTTGCTTATGAAATCACCTAGTTTGATGTACTGATATCCAACCAGGAAGTAAAATTTGGCACCTAAAAAATTCCCAAATTGGAAAAAAATGTTGTAGTCCAAAATGAGGAGTCCAATCTGTCACTGGCACTAATTCTCTTGAGGAATGAACTTTGCAACCTTTTTAAATCACTACCTTGGTAACCACTTCCCCACAATGCAATTGAGGCGGTAAACTGGTGTAATTTCTTCTCATTGACTCATTTTATTCACTCTTTGCTCCATTTAAGATAACATAAGATCATTTCAGCATCAAACTAATATTTCTCAAAGCCTTGGCGTGTGTTACCAGATTCTTGTTTGTAAATCAGAGGTGAGTGAGGGCTGTTGGAATCATGTTAAGAAGAAAAGCACACTTCCTAAACTAATCACTCCCTCATGTTTGCCAGTCTGTTAGCGTGTTTTCCAGCTCTGGTCACTTTAACATGCTGTACATTTGCCAGCTCTTTAATTCACCAACACTTTCATTACAGATGGTGTTTAATCCTCACACGTAATAGAAAACGCAGGTTTCCCACATCAGAAATAGTAATTAGATGAGATGAACGGGGGATTAGAAAACTACAGCGCATGACGCATCTGGCTGTCATTAAATAGTTCCCTTCTAAACCATAGTATTACAAGATGAGGTGATGGTAAACATACTCCAGTAGAGGGAAAAAGCAAGCAGTGAGAGCCCTCTAGTGTCAAGTCGATGAAAACATAAAAGCAGTGATGGAAAGTAACAAAGTACAAGTAGTAAAGTACTTTAAAATAGTTGACGTAAGTACATTTTAAAGAAGGTAATTTTTACTTTTACTTTGCTACATTTGAAAGCAGGTATCTGTCATTTTGTAAAGACAATTAAGAAAATTCTAAAGAAAATTAAGAAATGTATTCATATTGACCAAAATCTGTATAATTTTTAAGCAATTAAATATCGCTACGTTTAACACTTTAACAAATTGACAACACTTTATCAAAATCTGTATGAAATACTTTTACATTTACTCTAAATGTACATTTTTAAACTGGTACTTTAAGACTTTTACTTAGTAGATGTTTTCATGTGATAGTTTACGTTTGCTTGAGTATCTTTTTGCCTCTGTATCTGTACTTTTACTTAAGCAACAAAACTGAGTACTTTATCCACTACTGCATATAAGTACTCGTGATAAACAGTTTTATATCTTTTTAAATAAATAAATTTAATGTTTTCAGTGAACACTAAATCAGAACCATTTTAAGCTATATAAAAATAAGTAATAATAGTGACTTTATGATAAATTTTGACAATTTGTGGGGTAAAACCATAACATAGCTAATTGATGTGTTTCAAAATATGAGTGTGATCTAGATTAAAACAGTAGAAGATCGATTTTTGGCTGTGAAACAATCAGATTTCTATTTAAAACAAATTACAGAGACTGGGACATTCGACTTGCATCTTTTATATTTTCTGTATATTTTTTATCTGATACTGGCTGTGTTGAGAAATGGGCCATTATCTTATAGCTTATACTGACACATTTATTATTATTTTTTTATGAATGGGCATTGTCTCCTTTACAAATGAATACATAAATAAATAAATATGGCGGTCTTACTCATTGAGCTCTGGCCGCTGAGTGAACTGCGCAGGCTCTCCACTGATCCTCCTGCTTTGAGTTTGGGCTTCTCCAGAGAGTCTGTGTCGGGCTGAGGAGACTGAGGGGAGCCGGGCGCACCATCCGGACTGGACTGTGAAGGCAGAGTCCAAATGGATAATTAAAACACAAGGGAAGGAAAAGAGCAAAGTTCTGCAGTTCAAACAAAATTGGAATAAATGCATACGGTCTGATGACTGCAAAAACTTTGCTTTTAGAGTCTAGATAAAAAGAGAAAAGTCAACTTGAGCATTCATGACTCAGTATATTTTGTCTGAAAAAAATAATGATTCTACTTCAAAAAATGCTATCTTTGCTGTGTTATATTGAGACAGACTGCACTGAGTGAGAAATGATAAAGATTTGGACACTAGAGGGCGATGTTGCCTTTTAAATCACCAGCTTATTTTACCCTATGAGTGTCACAGCTGTCGACTTACACCTACAGACAAAAAACTTATGATTATTGTCCCTAATGGAGGACATAGAAGAGTTACAGACCCACTGATAGACAGGTAAACGAACTCAAACGCAGCTACATGTGATTCTTTACAAAGTGACCCAGGTTTTAATGAGCAGGCCTGGGGGAGACTTGCATCAGCGCATGACCTCAGCACGAAGCAGACCCCACCCTCCACTGTGGGCCCAGAGCTCAGTCCAACAGAGAAATCAAATATAAAGTTAAAGTGTGTGTTTATCCTGTAACTAACAAACACTCCCACCCACTCACGGTCCCTGGACACAATATGTGGCGCTCAATGCTAAACAGCCCTTTACAGTGGAAATGGTGTAAGCTTCTAATGAAATAAACATTTTTTATACAAAGGCAAATCTGTCATTTATTTGAACAACTTAAGTTACACCAAACAGGGACTATATTGTGACCACCTGGCAAATAATAGGAATGATGTTATGTTGAACCCACTGGCTAATAGGAGGCACTGAATAACACATTTCTATAGACACTGACCGTTCCACTGCAGGCTGGAGACAAAACAAGATACTGCATGTAGTTTAGTATGTAGGGCTGTAGTCTTTGGTCTGGTTGGAGTTTTAGTCGAGTTTAAGTATTTATTTGGGACAACAGCAGGAGCAAAAATCTATGATGTGAAATTAATCTACAGTTTTACATGTAAATACAACCTTTAAAAGTACGTTTCTGTTAAATAGCTGATTGTGCATATTGGAGTTTTGTGAGTGCAGTTTGGGTGAGATCACAGAAGTTTTGAGTTTTTTGCCACGCCCCATTTTAGTTGACTACGCGGTCGAAAAGGCATGTGTTTACCGAGAATGGACCAAGAATTTCTTTTGCCGACTGCAGCCCTAGTAGCTTTGTCATTTAGTGTTTTGTCATTTGCATGTTTGTGAAGTCCAGTTTATATACTTGAACAGTTCTCTTACCTCTTGGGACAAAAGGCTCACTTTTAATTACAGCCAATGAGTTTAAATTGTATTTTAGAAATCATACTTTCAATACTTTTTCATTTGTAACTGAAATCAACATGAATTCAGTCTATTATTTATGTACTGTAAAACATGTAAAGGGAAATTAGACTAATTTAATAATAAGATTTGTGATTCATACTAAAAGACACTGTTGATTTGATTTGCACCAGATATTGTGAGGATGAAGCAGCTCCCATCTCACTGAATTTTTAAACTATATTAATATTATATATATATGTTTTTTGTGTTATTGATTTCAGTAGTAGTTTAGTATTAGTAATGACATTTAAAGTTCAATAATTGCACATTTGTAGCATTTTTTGATGAAGTGATTACCTGCTCGGACAGAGAGCTGCTATACTTCTTGGACATGCGTTTTCTCATGGTCTCTTTAACCGATTTGACCTTCTTGCCCAGTGAAATGCGAGATGTGGTCGGGGACTTGACCACTTCCCTATAAATGGCCTCCTGATCCTTATTCTGTGAAACGAGACATTTCAGCAAATTTAACAGGAGACACGGAAGCTTGACCTGAAAGTTTCTCCTCTTAAAAGTGTCAAAATCTGGACTCACGTTGCCATCGGAGGCAGCGTTGTTGACCACATGGAGCGAGCGGTTGGACAGGTCAAACCCTCCAAAGCTGCACGTTCTCTGCGGGTGAGGAGCGCAAACACAATAGAAAACATCTGTCAATAGCTGTAAGGTCACGTTAGCATAACTCCCCCCATTCACAGACGCTAAAGTTCAACGCACAATGATCCATGCTTGAGACAACACGACAACTCTCATTAAACACAGCACCAATGTAATGTACAGTCATATATGGTGAAGAGGAATAGGGTGAACAGAGAGGAGTGGGGACGATTACAAAACGACTAGACGTGATGTAACATGAGCGACTGAGAAGTCTTTGGTAAAATACTTCAAAATACTGCATTGATCAACCTTTTTACATATTGATGATTTACGTTTGTAGTTTGTAGTGCATTATCTCAATAAAAATATTCACATAACTATACTTTAATAATGGATCAGGAATGTACTAAAGTGTGCCAGTAAATGTCTTGATTGAGGTTCAAGTATCAAAACATAAATAGACCCTAACATTAATCACAAAATGTCATAAATATCACTTAATATTGGACAATATTTTAATTATAGACAATACTCAATATTATAATTTTGAATATCTCAAGTGTGATAAGGCCTGTCATGATAAATACTATATCGACTTATTGTTCATTATATAGTACATAGAACAGTAATTTTTGGGGGTCAATATTTATCATGGGTACTTTTTCTTTGTAGTAGTGGGAAATTTTGGTTATTTTTTTTCCTGGAATATGAACTAAAATTGCACAAATTAACTGAATTCTGTTGCTTATTTATACAGCTCAACAATATTTAACAATATTGTACTTTTAGAATATTTTTTTGGGATAATTCTGTATTATTGTTTAATTAAATATTATAGTTTATTATCAATACTGACTTCATTATTCATATCAACATTGAATTCAAAATTTGTCCCACATCTACCACACTATTAGGAAAAAGGGAAAAAAACAAAAAAAGGATTTCTGTGGAACAATATGACTCAGACAAGAAATATTACGCTACAAAAATGGTCTAGGGTTGATATGTGCTTAGAATATTATTTGGCTTGGTCTAAAATGGCCAAATAATGTGACAAACATAAGGACATAAGGATGTACAGTAGTCACAGAGCGGTACTTAATGAAGCACAGGAGCTGGACCAGCGGAAAGCCACAGAGACAGTTGACATTGACATGCCCGTACACATGTGGCCAAAAGCATTTATATAAATACATATATAGACTTCAATATAGGAGCGAGAACTGGCCTAGAGTCTGCACTGGACAGCTATGCACCATCAGCCATTATCTCCAGTGGAAAGCGTTGCACACAAAGGCAGCGTCGGTCAGACAGTAAAAGATGTCCACAGCTGCTCCCCACATGTCGGCTTCCCAGGACGAAACATGTTTTAAAATCAAATAGGTGATTCTGAAAAGTCGATGGAATGGACATGCAAAAATGTTTTTCAAAATAGTGCTTATAAGCCAAATCATAGAGGCACGGGCCCAAAAACAGAACAAAAAACGTGAGAACAGAAAAAGTGGCTTGGAGGTTCTTTTGGATGGGACTCCGATGACGGCACCACTACACTATGAGGCTCAGGTGCACTCAGAGCTGCAGGACAGCTCCCTCACGGCAACACTTCTCTGTATGTACAACACAATACAGTCAAAGTGTCCCTCTGCCCTATATGCAAAGAGGAGGAGGGGGGTTCAGTTGTGGATGTGTAAGGATGAGCTTGTTGTCAACAGCGAGCCGAGTGTGCTTTTACTCTTAGGGGATGTGACATTTATTAAAGCCGTAAAATCTATTCTGCTACTTGCAAAATTGCACCCCAGTGGGTCTCAAGAGTTTAATGATCCTTTTATATTCAGTCTAAGTAGAAAAGTTTGAAAGCTTAATTCACTTAAAGGTCAAACAAGATGACATTCTCCTGCGGGCGCTTAAGTTTTTAGGACATTAACTACTTCACAGCAGTTGTGTGTGCATGTTTCTTACACAAAGAGTTTATGATCAGGTGTGTTTGAATATGCATGTGTAATATGCATGTGTGTATGGCCTTGTCTAATCACATGAGCTATCCTGCAGCTTTGAAGCACTCGGAGCCCCTCCCACACGAGGCGGTCGACTGGAGCTCGTTTGCCTGGACTCACAGACTTCTGTTGGATGCGTAAGAGCACGCGCTTGGTGCAGCGGTCCACGCTGGCCGCCCACTTCCTGTCGGCCTCACGGTCCTCGTCCAGCAGACAACGGCGCTCGGCGCGGCTCAGGGTCACGGGCCGCACCAGCTGGGCCCAGTTCAGATGACCGTACAGACTCCGCTCCACCACATACGTGATGTTGAGCTCACTGACCGCTGTCCGGCCACGCAGCCGGCGAGAGGGAAATGCCCAGCCCCCCGTCCCACAGCCAAAGCCTTTGGACTTGGTGACCTCACAGCGGGCAGGAGAGGAGGGGGTCACGGGGAGAGGGGGTGCTGGGTTCTTGTTGCGAGAGCGCTGGTAAAGAAGGTGCTTAGTAGAATATGCGTAGTTTGGGTCTGGTTTGCGGTGCGTCCAGCTGCCATGTTTGGGTTGGTGCTTTGGGCTGCTCTGAGGGCTGTTCTCCAGGGAGATGAGGAGGCGGGATTGGGGGTGTGGTTTGGGGCGGGGCTTGGTCAGGCCATAGTAGGCATACAGGGCTTCGTTGGTACTTACCCCATGGGAGATGGAGCTGAGTGCTTTCCTCATCTCTCCGTCCGTGGTGGAGCGCGACAGTTTCCCCTCGTCGTCCAGGCCACAGCCATCCAGCTCGGAGAAGGACGAGCCGCTGCCCCCCACACCCGAGATAGAGCCCAGGCCCCCAGAGCCCAGAGGGGTCCTCCTGGGGGGTCGAATGAGCCCGTGGGTGCTGGAAGACTTACTAAAGGTCTTAACAAGCCTGTGCCCTGACCAGGTGTCCAGGCTACTGGATGAAGGGGAGGTGGTCAAACTGTCTGAGTCCCCATCCAGAGACAGCTGGTCCTGCAGGAGTGAGGGCAGAGAGGCGTCCTGGGAGGGAGGGGGCTTCTTTAAGACCCCAGTGTACAGGGCTGCGTTGTCCTCACACGTGGGTGTCGACTCGAGATTCAGGAAATCTGAAAAGTGATACAAAGAACAGAAGAATTTGATTGTCTGTAAGAATGTAACAACTATTCTCCTTCAGCACATTATTCTCATAGCTTGACAGATGCACCAACCTTCGGATCCATGTTTCTTTCCATCTTCGACTTTGATGAGCTTTTTCCTGACTCGGCGTGTGGAGTTTACGAGCTTGTGAAGCCGTTTGAACTTCACTGAGTCCTCTGACTGCTCATCATCTGACTGCTCTCGAGACTGGAGGGGAGACCAGACACAGTGTGAAAAAAGACCATTTACACACAGACATTTACAAGGACGACGAATGTATCAAAGAAAAACACATTTTAGTGGAGACATGGGTCTTTGTTTAGGATGGGGCTGAAGTTAGTGAGGTGAGAAGTGGTGATGGGAGGAACTGTGAATGCAAAATCAGGCAAAACAACAACCCAACATGACTGCTTCATTTTTAATTCTGGGTTGAAACAGTTCTTAAACAAGTCAAGTGGAAAATAGACAGAATAATTACATTTCCAACAAAACCCGCATCCCCAAACACGTGAGCGCTTTTTCAGACAATCATATCACACATCCAGCAGAGCCCCAGAGCACAGCAGACACGAGCAGCACATGTGGCTCCACTAGGGCCTATGACAGCGCCGGTCTGGAACAAGCCACTGTCATTATCACGCAGTCTAAATAACTTCATTTGTTTCTCCCAGGTTTCCACGGTAACAGGGCTTCTCCGGTCACACACTGGCAGCCATGTGTTTTTGAGGTCGATGGGGTATATTTTTCCAGTTAATATGTAGCTTTCTCGTCCAGGTCAAGAGCAAAATGCAGTTTAAGTTGAAATAAAAGCCCCAGACCTGGCAACGCGCGCTGCTGACATATAGTGAAGTGATGTTAACTGCGGCTGTGTTGTAATACAAATACATGTTGACTCGCAAAGGCACTCAGCCACTTTATAACTCAGGCTTAACTTTGCCAATTGGTACTTATCTCAGATGAGGGAAGAAAAACATTAATCAAAGCACCAAAGCATGGGCTCACGAGAGAGGCCTGTTTTTGAAAAGTGCGTGACAATCTTGTTTTTTTTTTTACTTTTTCCATTGACAAACATGACCCTCTATTTGGGTTCACTGTAAACACAAATATATGCCACTACTTGAAACTCTGAAAGAAAATTACATGTTTCAGTACCAAGTAGTAGCGATGGTGGCAAAAATCATAAGTCTGGTTTTTATTTTTTTATTTATTTAATTTATTCAATATGGACATAGCAATTACCCTGGACAAGACCAGATTATTTGACTCATACTTGAAAACTATTATATTTATACTGTCAAAATGAACCTGTAAACAGAGAACACACCTACTCTGTTTATTAGAAAAGTGCTCCAATATTCAAGTGTCACAACAGTCTGAACAGAAGATAATAAAATCTAATTTAAAACATCTGTAATTGAACACTGTTATAATTGAAACCACGATTTTTAATGCAAAGGATTTTTTTTAGGTTTATCAGGTTAATGTATTATCACATTAAGTCAACTCAGAACACCCCCTATACTCTGACTTATGCCTACTACATACCAAGTTTGTGAACAATATACAAAATGTTCAAATGTCTCTTTTTATAGAACTAGCGCACACACACACACACACACATACACACACAGTTACTATTAGCCCCAGAGAGTTTTAATGGCAGAAGAGAGGGTCAGAACCATATGCTTAAAATGTAAATTAACCTGAATGAAAAGTTAGAATTGCACACAACACAGACATTTATAAGGCACTTTGTTTTGTTTCGACTGCAGCTCCTCCTCCTGAGAGACAGACAGAAGTAATGGGAGGGAAGCGAAAGTGACAGTGATATACAAGCTGTGACTAGGGCCAGAGACAAGCATCCATGCAAATGTCCACATTACTGCATAGTATACACAACAAGTGAAGAGGCTATCAATCAAACCCCAAAATAAAATACACCTTAAATAGCCTTAGGACAGCCTGAACAAAGATCTAAAAATGAAAGTGCTTGATAAGAATGATTCAGGCTTAGGTACTATTTCTACTGTTATCTAAAAAAAAACAAAAAACATCTTTAATATTCAAAATGCTCTGTTTTTTGTTTTGTTTTTCTCAGAGCTGGAATCATGTAAATGATTTTAGTGAAGGTATATGGAGTTTAAAAACACAGTGGAGCACTTCCTGTATTCCACATGACATCACAAGGTGGAACAGAGTGTTTTCTGAGAGAAGAACTAAAAGAGAAAATATGCAGGGTTTTTGTGTTAAACATGCATGAATGAAAAAAAACACAACCCCAGATGTTTTTGATGAGGAAACATTATAACATCAGAAAATAGCGTAATATGGGCCCTTTAAGTAGCTACAAAGTCTGAAGCACTCTTAATTTTAGCTGTCTTTTAATTATGAATTGAGGATAATTTACCACAACAACCAACTTATTTGCAATGACAAACAAAATCAAAACTAAATTGAAAACATGCTACTTACATTTCAGATAGAAAGCTACGACACCATCACCACGACCACCCATAAAAACTCATCAGATCCATAACAATCCATTAACAACTTATGCATGCGCTCCCCGAAATCGTATGTGCAGCCTCTAGTGTGCATTCAGCTCTGAGGAATGAGAGACAGTGGAGGTGCCGTGGCGCAGTGGGCCAGCAGAGAAAAGGCGTGCTGTGCTTGGAGAACAATCCTTGCATTTGAGCTCCGTGACCCCACCGTGACCCCCACAACGCTAATGTCCCACGGAGGAATGCAATGAAAGCGAGCGCCAGGCCTGTACTGTATATATCCTACTTATAGGATACTTACAATGACTCTGGTAAATTCTGTTCAAACAAGGGCAGACAGTATGTGACACTATTAGGAATATTTTAGGAGCTAGGGGATGTCCTCAGGCGAAGGATGGATTCTCTTTCTCCTTTTTTTTCCTTTTCTTTCCTTCTTTTACATGTGTTGCAGTCTCCAAGGGCCAAACTATGTGTTACTAACAACAATGCGGCTACAGTGAAGTTAACTTTGTCTGTGCAGAAAGAAGAAGAAGCCCCGACTGAAGGATCTTTGAATGCTCACAACAGGATGTGAGGGGCTAGCGGCAGAATGAGGGGAAGTGTAGAGTTAACGGATGAATCAGGAATCCAATCTCCACATTATAATACAAAGTGACAAGAAGAAAGTTGAAATTAAGTTCTGCATAAGATAATTTATGAAATTTCCATATCAAAGGAAATGGCTAATTGCACTGAAAGACTGCCAGCTTTAAAACTACTGACAAAGTAAAACTGTCTAATAAAGTAGACCAAAGTTACGCTGTGAAACTGTGGACATTAAAGGGCCCATATTACACTGTTTGTTGATCTTTGTTATAATGTTTCCTCATCACAAACCTGCAGCTATGTTTTGTTTCTTTCACAGATGTTTAACACACAAATCCTGCATATTTAAGCCAAGTTCTTCTCTCAAACAGAAAACACTCTGTTCCACCTTCTGATGTCATGTGGTAATACAGGAAGTGCTCCACTGGGTTTTAAAATCCATTCACCTTCACTAGAATCATTTGGATGAGTTGAGCCCTGGATTTGCTAATCTCTATTGAACTAAAGGTAAAAGGCTGTTAACTTGAAAACTACCACTTCATGACATCACAAGTTGGAACAGAATTTTGAGCAACATTTTGAGCTTTGGAGATGTAGACAGACTAATAAAAAAGATTACTAAAACATGTGAAAATGAAACAAAACACAACTCCAGGTATGTTTTTGAGGAGGCAGCATATAACATATAACATGGCTTAAAACCCCTGAGAGTCATTTTACATAATATAGGACCTTTAAGTGAGGAAAAGTGTAAAAAAAAAAAAAAAGAAAAAAAAAGTGCTTTTTATGGTGTTAAAACCAAACGAGCACACAGTTAAACGAAGGAAAAAAAAAAAAAAGTGAGTCATTCTTCAAAATTGCTTCATATTTGCATCATGCTTGGAATGCGTGAGTTTGAATAAAGCGACTTCCTGTTGTAAAAAAAAGTGGGTCAGTCTATGGGATAGTGTTATTTTAGTAAAAGATTCCCACATGATGCCAAACAGCGGAGTGTAAGGTTAATGAAAAATGGCAATGGCTGAAACTTTTCCAATCTGCATCAGGAGTGACCTCAATTAAGTATGGGAAAGTTATGTATAAAAACAAACAACCACAGAAGACAAGAAAAAAATATACATTCAGTATTTAAAGAAGAACAATCTAAAACATTTCAGAAAAAAGTGCATTTAAACTGATTTGGTTCAACTGTCCACATTTAAAAGATGTTGAAACAAAAATACTGAGAGGAGTTAGAAAGAAATGTTCAAAAAAGTATGTCTTCAAGATTAATCACAACCAAATGGAAATACCAAATTGAATTGACATAATCTGCACATCGTAAAGACTGCTAAATATTTTACAAATTATTAAATATGCTGTCGTATTCTGAATAAAACTCCTAACCCCGTAGTTTAGATCTGTACAGACATGTTCTGAAATGTGACTACTGTATTTGCTTGTCAGTTTATATTTTTTGTCATTTCTTCTGGACGAGTTTAAAATATGAACTTAGAACAGAATCCTATTAAAACATAAACTGCAAAACGAATCACAATTACAATGCTTGTCAGAATAATCACAGTTAGAAATTTCTCCCAAAATCATGCAGTCCTATAAAAAAATTAAACACAAAAAGTTTGGAAAAAGACGTTCAGAGTGTCATAGGATATTACAGTACTTCCCACTTTGGCAAACAGCAACACACGTAAGCAGCAGTTTCTTTAGCCTATTCCAGATTGTCATACAATGTTTGACTGCCATTCACACACCATCACACATCACAATGCAGGGCTCCTCCTGGCTGATTGCGGGTGAGAGTGGTTGGTGACATACATGAGGTAGCAGCACAGGGCGGGGCAGGCGTACTTACATCACAGGTGGAGGACTGGTTAAGAGCAGGTGCTGTAGATCCTTCAGTCCCCTCGGCAGTGTCATGGCTGCCGGACTGTTTGTTGCGCTCATACTCCTTCAGCTACAGGAGAAGAAGAGTTTAGAGAGGTAGAGGAAGAGGGCGGGACCACCACTCTCACCAAAGCAGAGTCCGATCATGTGTTCATGGACTGAGAAGGCACGCGGTCGTGTAGACAATGAAACTGGGGATGTAATGGTGCAAGATATGTACATGTACTTGATATGTACTTGATATGGCAGTTATAATTACCTTAGGACATATGATGATAGTCATTTTGTATGAGTGATTGATTTAGATTCAAAGGTACAATATAAGGTTAGATCAATTTGGAAAATGGCATGACGCATTAACTTAAGATGGTACTTGATTTCGATTAATGGTAAAAATGGAACACCAACTTTTTTGTTTTTAAGTGTTTATTTTTTATTGTATTATTTTTGTAAAGTACACTTATGTCTATGGAATTTTTTTTGAAAACAGCCAATTTTGTTCTGCTCTACTTTGAAATGGCCATGGATTTCTCTGTGATGAAAAATTAAGACTATTGCTATAGCGATTCAATATATTAAACACTAAACGGTCATAAAAATTGTGTCCGTATGAGAAAAAAAGTGTTGTAAAAGTCAGTTTAAGGCCAAAGAAATTTAATTCATTTGAATATTTTCAAGAGCCTGGTGATACTTTGATAGCCAGCAGACACACACCCATAAATGTGAAAACCAAATAGTGAAAAAAGACATAAAACTATCCACAAGAGCTGATCTTTGATTGTCTCAATGTGATTCGTTTGACAATGTGTCAATCAAAATCAGGGCCACAGATTTCAGCCGACAGGAGACTGAATGATAGATCGGCATTGTGGAGAGCAGCACCAACGCTGTGAACGCCCAGGACAAAGATATGATTACTCACAAAAAGCCAAAAGAAAGAAACATTCCCATTCATTCTACATCAAATGAATGACGGACAGAAAATTAAAAGTGTACAAAAGCCAAATAAGATCCATCGTCACTATACAGAAAAGAACAGCTACGCCCAGGAACACATGTGTCTCACCACATGGAGCTTTTTCTGACAAATCAAAGACAAATGACTTGAAGCAACACACCCACACACACAGGCTTTCAAATCCCAAATCCCCTAAACCTAGAAGCACTAGTCAAAAGCACTATTCAGCTCAACATTTCTGCATTTAAAAAGACAATGCTGGTTAAACAGAATGGCCTTGTGGTGTTAGTATGAGTCAGTTGTTTTAGTAAGCAGAAGGTAATGGGAAATACAGTCATTGAAGTAGAGGTAAGATAGAGTAATACTATGATATAAGTAGAAAGCATGTGATCCAGGAAGGAAGGGAGAGGGAGGAAGCCATGACAGTTTTTCCTACCCGTGCCAGCGCTTCTTCTACCGTAATCATCTTCTCTTTCACCATCATCATGAGCTGGATGCGCTCCTCATCGCTCATGGTGATCTCGCTCGCCACGTAGCCAATGTCCTCTCCTACGGCAACAAAAGGTCAAAGGTCAGCTATGGGACTAAATGTGCAGGGTGAAGTTTGAGAGTGTTTAAGAACCTTTAGATGTCTGACGGGCGACAGGTTTGTGCTGGGACTTGCGGAAGTTTTGCCAAAATGATTTGTTTTTCTTCTTGTTGTCCCATTTACCTGCAGGAAACAAACAGTAAGAGCTATGAGTATATAAGGGAACAAAAGCATCACCCACTTAAGATAATTACTGTAAATAATATCAGTTTATATCTTGGATCCCGTATAAAAAAGCAGATGACATTTTTGAAATCCATGAGAAATGTGCTAAAACATAAATAAGTGTGTTAGCTGAGGTTAAATTATTGCATAAAAGTGATTTAATAGCAAATGAATGTCAAAATTGTCTTTTTTATTTTTCATTTCAAGGTTATTATTAATAGTTTGCTGTTAAAATATTAGAATAACATTTACTGCATTACAGTTTAAACATATAACAATGACTATTTGAATATTTTTTTGTGATTGTATGTTTCCTTTCCTCCTGCTGTTGTTGAACTTTGTATTACAACACTGTACTTTTCTCATGGTGGGACAAATAAAGGTTATCTCATCAAAATATAAGAACAACAAATTGTCAATATCAATTTCACTGTAATTATTCAATGTGTTTTGTATTTTATATATAATTAATATCCCCATTACCTCCAGATCCATCTTCTGAACTGGACTTGTGCAGTGGCATCCTAAAACAGAAAAGAAGACATTATTTATTGCATATAAACATTTTTAAGGGTACACTTTTGTATTTCCACCACTTGGGGTCAGTAGTGGAGCTCAAATCATGTCTGTGCAGGCTCCAGAGGCTTGAGAGGGAGAAGTAAGAGATGGGCTAAAATAACATCTTTCTGCTTAACTTAAGGCTAAGCTAAACATGTTGGTAATATTAAGTAAATATTTAAAATAAATCAAAACGGAGGAAGGCGTGTGGGCAGATATGTGATGAGACGAGCAGAAATGGTAAGCACAAGTGGGCGGAGAAACCACTGTGCGAACTCAGCCAATTTGAGTTTCCACTTTAGTTGACAGAAAGACAGTCATGGGGAAGAAATGATGGAAAAATAAAAATATAACTGCTAACATGTCTGACAGCTCTAACAAGAACTTCACAGCATCTCATAAAAAAGTAATACAGTATATGAACTACCTCCGTATATACTCTCTTGACTTGACTTTAGAGTCTTGGATGAGACCAGAATAACTTCAATAGCAGTCTGGCTCATATAAAAATATAGGGGCAGGGTACGCTCCAGTGGGTTTATCTTCAAAGGCAAAGTTACTGTGAAGAACTTTGATATTGCAGTAGGAGAAAGTATAGATTTTTTTCAGATGGCTGTAGGGTCTTTGAGTTCAAACATATGCTACAACATTGTTAGTCCTTGTTAGTTTCAATAGTCTACTTGTTGATGATAAAAATATTAACGTTGGCAGAAACTTTGGGCCTTAAAAAAATTCAATTTGGATTTTCTTTGGTTAGAAATTTGCGCAAGAGATTTACTCATTCACATGGGGGGCTAGGGATGTCAAAAATATCAAAAATCTGATACTAATCGATGCTAAAACTAGTGTTGATTTCTATTTTTATCATCATCGTGGTATCAGAATTAGTACTGAGCATATTCCTTAGTACTGAATTACTACTGAATTAGAAATTTTAGTTTCATGACAACACTAACAGCGGCATTTATAGTTACGTACACCACTACACCAAACACTAATGGTTGAAAGAACTCGCAAAATCCACAACCACAAAAATGTCAGGAAGGCTAGTCACTCTGCCACCACCATTTCATTCCAATACAGTCACCTAAAATCAATAATTCACAGAGGGCATATCTTTAAATGCGTGCCCAGTTGAGACGCTGAGGGATCTATTAAGTATCCCCTGTATTCATCAATAAGTATCTATGGTAAACAAAATAAAAGATCACATCCACATCCAATTATACGTCTAAGAATTCATGCATTTTAGTTAGTCCAATCACAACCCATTGGGGACATACTGGTGCAGTTTAAAGCCCTGGCTGCCATGGCAACATAATGATATGCTAATTGAATGTAGGCCTGTATGGCTCCTCGCCCCCCTCCCTCCCTGATCGGCTAGGCTAAGGGGACACGCTAAGGCTAATTCAAGAGAGTCAATGGAGAGAGAGCAGCATAATGCCCCCTCCCTCTACCCCTCCATCCTTCCATCCTTCCATGCTCTATAAATTAAGCTCACACTGGCATAGACATAGTTCAGAATGTCTTTGTGTAGGAGCCTGGCAACTTAATTGGTTTAACCTTAAAATCTGTAGCATGGCTTCCTTTGCACTTGGCCGGCCTGCATTGAGAGTAGGACAGTAAAAACACTATCTCATTTGCATAAGAGGGTAGCTGTCTATGTGAGATAATATGCAAAGCTACATTTTACCTTTGGCTGAACTCATGTAGAGGAGGTGGTAGTGACTAGAACTGTGGCATGGTTCAGCAGAAACATCAAGGGACGCTACGGCTTTGATCTTATTAAATTTCATTATTTTTAATTGAAAAAAAAAAAAAAAAGATGAAATGAGAAAAAGGATGGTGTAATGTTTAGTCTTGTATTTCTTTTTGGCTATTATTGTTGCAATTAAAGATACCATCTGCAGTTAGATTAGCTGATCCACACGTTGTATTCTCAGATATTACAATGGTTGCGTCGCCTTGAACCTCCTCCTCAGAGCGTCTGCATCAGCCAACGTGCACCTCCGAAATTTTGTAACTACCCACCGAACCGACATGGCCAACAAGGGAAAGTAATGAAGACAATAAGGGCTGTGATTGGTCCTCTCTACATCCGCTCTACAGACATTTCCAGTACTCCGCTTTCCCGCTTCATTTTGTATACACGAACGTCATTTTTAAATCCTAGCCTCCTAGTGTTGTGGCGGTGAATTACTTTGCAGCGCATAGACCTCGACAAGGCAACGGCAGCAGTGTGCGTTGAGTCGACGCAACTATAAAATGGCCTTGATAGTGCGCCAGCTTTAGCCTGACAGAAGAAGAACAGAAAGCACAGGTGAGTCTGAAAAAAGGCCATCTACTGGTAAAAAAAATAAAAATAAACTTGCAGATGGTGGCTTTAATGATGTCATGTAACATTAAAAAAAAACAAAACAAAAAAAACTTTCCTACTGTAATTTTTAGGGCTGCAGCGATCCAGCTTTTTCAATTCTAATACAGATTCCAATACTATAGCTTTAAGTATCTGCCGATATTCAATATTAACTGATACAAGCGCAGAGACTGAAAACTGCATTTATTTCTTTGAGACAAAAAAACTGATCCATGTGTTACGGACGTGTTATTTATGTTTGTATAAATAAATTTTACTTCATGAGTTTTATTACATCAGTGCATATGTCAAATTAAGATATCAGCTGAAAGTATATTTGGAAGCCAATATCTGTACCTTAAAAAGTAACAGATCGGTGCACCCTAATGATTATTCAGGAGTGTCACATTTAGAATAAACTACTGATGCATCTAGTATTATTTAATCTTAACATTACTGATAACAAAAGACTTAAAATAGCTTAAAACGAAAAGTACTGAGGGGTAACAATACTAACACATGAGTCACTTCTTAGCTCAACCTCATGTGACAAAACGCCCAGGAAACACGACCAAACTGCACGCTAACGAATGTATGACAGCTGTTTCTGGTCTATTTTGGTAGGAAAGTAAAACTCCGCTTGGGGTTAATTTTGACATTCTAGTTCATGCTCAACACCTGGACTGAAGTGACGCAGTGAGAGCCCAGAGACAATGAGAGGCAGTGACCCTGTGGCACAGCAGAGGGATGAGCAAGACTGAGGTCAGAGAGGAGGTCACAGGGAGGGAAGACATTCATCATTACACAGGGAAATATCACCTTCTACGAGTACTATAGTACTGCGGACATATTTATGCTTTGGGGAAATAACGGGCTTGAAAAATGATTCACTGAGGAGGGATAAAGCAAAGACCTCACAAAGCTACAGTTATTTATTAAAGGTTCTATATTACGCAAAATCCAGAATTGACTCTTGCAAGCTTTAAGTCATGTTATAATGTTATTTCCTCATCAAAAACATACTTGGAGTTGTGTTTTGTTTCATTCCCACATGTTTAAATTCTGAACTAAATCTGGATTCAACCAGTGTGAAGCCAAGAACAAGACTAAACCAGGATAGAAAAGTTAAATTCAATAGTGTGGAACATTCCAGGTGAACTCCCCACCATGAGTAGCGTATATTTAAAGGTGCATTGTGCAGCATTTCTGGTGGAGGGTCCATCAAATGCTTTTCTCCATGGAGATGCTATTGCTTTGTCTGGTATTAAACCTTTCAATCTTCATGGAGACCAAAACAGACCAATTTTTCTAGGTATTTTTTGAGCTATAAAACCACCTGTAATTGAATAAATGCAAGAGGTAGAGTTGTTTAATGTCATATTATGGAACATTCCAAGCAGAGCAAGAACATATCCATAGAAACAGGCATGTGCACCATCAAAACACAAACTACTGAACTAAATCTCAGTGGGATATAAGCTACTATTTCTGTGCACGTTTCATTTTGTTGCTGTGCTGTCAAATTGCAATTCTCAGTTTAATTCAAATCAACAGCCTCTTTACAAGTTAACTGTGCAGATGATAAGTTCTTAGCCCCAAAATATATTGTTCCAGCTTTCATATATTGAATGCTAAGTTGATGTGGTAATTATTATTGTGACGAGTCTATGCATATGTATTAATCCAGCGCAATTATGAACTCAGTAGTCTGCCACTCCCTTACCCCTTCCCCATCCACTTATGTTGTTGATGTCTGTTAATGTATGCTCCTTTCTGTCCTTGTAAGTTGTTTGTGATGGTGTGTTTAGAAATAAAAAAAAAAACTGTCTTGCTAACAGACCAAGAATCCAGCGGAAACTACCAAACACCATTCTATAAGGATATTTGCACATTAAAAGTCCTATATTATGTAAAATTAACTTGTGAGCCTGAAGTTGTGTTTTGTTTCCCTTTATTATTAGTCTGCCTGTGCTTCCAAAGCTCACAATGCTCTGTTCCACCTTGTGATGTCATGAAGCGGTAGTTTTTCAAGTTTTTTTTCTTTCAGTTTTAGTTCAGTAGAGATGATCAGTTCCTGAGCTGAAATGATTCTAGTGAAGGTGAATAGAGTGGAGCACTTCCTGTGTTTTTAAACTCCATTCATGACATCACAAGGTGGCCTAAATAAGCAGGGTTTGTGTGTTTGACATATGTGAATGAAACTAAACACAACTCCAGGTTTTTGATGAGGAAACAGCATTATAACATGGATCAGAAAATAGTGTACTATGGGACCTTTAACCAGTATGACTAACCAAACTTTGCAGTGTGATAGAAAACTTATCTTAAACTTTGTCATTTGACCCATTTGTCACCCAGTGCTGATCATCTGGGAGCCTGTTTGCACAAGAATGCTTGCGGGTAAAAACAACAAAATATTTTATTGGAAGTGCCTTTCGTTTTTGGTGCTTAAAAACACAAAATCCAAAACCACCCTCCAGAATGGAAAAGTTGAATACGTTCCGCCGTAGCGTTTCCATCTACACTGCCCAAGACGCAACACTCTGGTCAGATCTGTTCATGTCGCGTACACGTTTATGTCACATACATCACCACCTAGCATCACCACCTGGCATGCATACCCAATCAAATTCCACACACTTTTGCATCACCGTATGCACAGAGATTTCCTCCCGAAAACACTTGTCTAAACGTGGAATAAAAAGTGAAGACGCAATGCCACTTTTGCGTCTTCTGTTCAGACTGTCATCATATAAACGTAGCCTGGGTTAAGAGTATCTAGCTCAAAGATTGACCTACATGTCACACATTTTAGGTAGAAGTACAAACTGAAGTCCCCAGAGGAAACCCACACAGACACAATGCTGGAAGTCTCCCCATGTTAGACTTAACAGGCTCCACTGTTAAACTCCACAATCACCTCCTTGTATTATTCTTTCATCAAGTCCCATTTACTGCTGTTGGTAACTACACTGATAAGCCTGCGGTAGTCCCCGGCAACAATACCAACCAATCAATCAACCTTCAAAACAGGAAGTCCCCCGCTTGAACCCTAAAAGCCTTCTGTCATCGCCTGCCCCATTAACACTGCTATGCCCACGTTCTGCCAACAAACTCACAAAGAAGGGCTGGCAGTACCAACATGGCAGAGACTATAGGTCCCGAGGGTGCTATTGTCCTATGGCGAGGTGGTGAGGGGGTGAACGCAGGAGAGGTTGAGGTATGTTTTAAAGGACTTGTCTATCAGTCTGACTCTGCATGATAAATCTGTATACCTGAGGCCCATTCACGGAGAGGGGGACAATAGAGCGGGACTATGGCGGAGGAGAAAAGGAGCCAGTGAAAGATGAACTGACGGGGGAAGGGAGATGTAGTCCTCGGGCATTAAATTGGAGCGCATAAATTTTAAAAGAAGTGCCACATAAAAATGGACTTTGTGAACAGGCTCGTAAAAAAAAAAAAAAAGTGGGAGAAGGGTGCGGTTTCATTATAGAAAGAGGAGAGTTGTCTTTTAGCACTGCTTTTTTAAAAGTTTGAGACGTTAACATAAAACAGTGTTCGTTTTAGTAGTGTATACAATATAAGATCAAATTACCGTTCCTGTAGCTTTCAGAAAATCATTTTGGTATGAGAGATTTTAGTCATTTTTGTAAGAACAAATGTTAGTCTTTAATCTATATTCCAAAGTAGGGATGTAACAATACATTAAATATTGTGATATCGTATCGTCAAAGTTCTCACAATAATATTGTGGACCATCACAATATATCGAATTACAAGTCTCTTTGCTTAAATTAAGAGATATCGTGCAACAATAGCTAAGAAAAGACAAAGGGAACTACATAGACCATGATCCTTTGCTCCATTTCAGTGCAGACTACACGAAGAAATAACAGTTCTGAGCACTTTTCAGTCTTAGTTCTTTGAATTAAGTCTTGTCAAGGCATTTTAAGAGGAAAAAGTAGCATATTAACAGTTTTGTTAGCCTCCACAAAATATCAATAAATAAACGGTACAATAAATATCGTACCATGAGATGTATATCGTGAAAACATTGTACCAAGATATTTGGATATTGTTACATCCCTAATCGTGAGCCTCACCATCATATTGTGAGCTTTCCCACGGTATCGCAATAAATATCGTACTGTGAGCTTCATACCGTGACGATATTGTATCGTGAGATTTGAATATCGTTACATCCCTGTTACAAAATTTAAATGTAGAGATGCCATATTCATTACGTTTATGTTATACAGAGTAGCGCTGTGGCAGAGTGGTTAGACCTGCCTTCAAAACAATGGGTTGATCTCTGGGCTAACTATAATGCCAGCATGTTGTCTCTTTCCTCTGTTAATAACTTTAACAGTGTAACTTTTTGGTTGGGGGTCCATCACCTGCTTGTTTCCATGGATGTGTCATTGCTCTACCTGCAATATTCCACAATATGATATTAGACAGCTCTACCTTACATTTATAGAACTACATATGGTTTTATAGCTTAAAAATATCTATAAAAACAGGTGTTCTGACTGACAGTGACATTTCCTCTCCACAAACCTGATCTGTCACTTGGTCTGCTTTGGTCTCCTTCAATTTAAAAAAGGTTTAATGCCATACCGTGAAACATTCCAGATAGAGCAATAACATCTTCATGAAGTTTCAAGATCTGAGCAAACGCAAATGTTAGTCTTAAATCTATATTACAAAGGTATAGTGTAGAGATGCCACATACATTGCGTTTGTGTTATACGGAGTTACACTGTGGCAGAGTGGTTAGCCCTGGCCTCAAAACAATAGGTTGATCTCTGGGCCAACTATAATGCCTGCATGTTGTCTCCTTACACTGTTAATACCTTTGCATAGGTAGTTAATTTACCATGTAACTTTTCCTGTATGGGATCTGCTTTTTAAAATCTTTTATCTACTTTTCTATCTTGTGTCTTATTCAGTTGCAAGTGTTTTATAGAAAAAAGCAGCCTTGCAACTCATTGGATCTGACCTAAATATACTGTCGTCACCTGGCTGTCTTCCAGAAGAATATGTTTAATAATGTACTGTGAAACATTCCTGTCAAAACATCTCCATGGTGACAAGCAGATAGTGGACCAGAAAAGTTAAACAATGCAGTTTTAAAACATTAAAGTGCACAAGAAACTTTTGTTGAAGGAATTACGGTTTTGGATGACCTCTTTCGCTTCATCTTTGACATACTGGTAGCAAAAGCTTGAAAACCAATCTGTCATATTTTGTCAACAAATTTTCAAAGTATCATCTCCATGCTAAAACTCTGAGGTATGTGCTACACCAGTATGACAATCTCCATTTTACACAGCCAAGAATAGAGCATACATATAAGCCCTGTCTATACCGCACAAAGCCAGGCCATAACAGGGAATCATCTTGTTACGTTTTTTTTCTCTTTTCTTGGGGCCCCTCTGCTCTTCTCGATCTCAAATACCCGACGTCATCCTAAACTCTGGCATCTGTTTCCCATCACCCTCCACATGTGTCTGTGCAGCATACACGCAGCTATGGGAGAAGAAGAGTTCATGTATGTGGTATGCGCTTCCTCTCCTGCACGTGACTATCCCTCCAGGGGTCACAAGGGGGCGACCATCAGGGGCGAGGATAAAAGACCAATCATAATTTTACAGCAAAATCCATTCGCCATGTGTGGGGTACTAAATCTAATACTACTTGACAGTGGGGGAGTTTTCAAAGAGATGTTTTGCCAACAAGCTAAGAAGTAGAGCTTTTCGCGATGACTTCACTTTGGGGAATTACCTCTGTATAAAACAAAAGGCAGAAAAAAATGTCGTAGAGTTACAGGAACCAACGAGAAGGACCTCCACCCAGGCATCCCGCGTTCGCTTCTTGGCTGTAATCATTAGACTACTAGCCCCCCCTCTCCCCTCCTCTCTCTCTCTCCTGGACTGGACACAAAGGGAGGAAGGAAGCCCCGGAGAACAGGCTTTGGACTGGGCAGGTCGGCGCAAGGAAGTGGCCAGTGGTTTTCCTTTCTGTGAGAGTGGGAGTTTGGAGGACCACCTAGTACTGTGTGAGTCAATGTGAAAATGGGGCAGAGTATGAACGATACGGGCAATAAGGAGAACAGGAAGTAAAAGGCCACAAATTTAACTTAAGGGGAAATCCATATTGTTATTAGAGGTAACAGTACGAGATATTCTACTTCAAGGAGCACTATGTAACTTTTTGGTTGTTTCTATGGATATGTCATTGCTCTGCCTAGAATGTTCCATAGTATGACATTAACCAGCTCTACCTTACATTTATTCAATGACAGGTGGTTTTATAGCTCAAAAATAACTTGAAAAACAGGTGTTCTGACTGAGAGCGTGGTTTCCTCTCCACAGATCTGACCTGTAACTTGGTCTGGTTTGGTCTGAATTTAAAAAAGGTTTAATGTTATACTGTGAAACATTCCACATAAAGCAGTAACATCAGAAAAGCCAATTATGTATCTACCACCAAAAAAGTCACACAATGCACCTTTGCAGTAGTACAATTTGCTGTCCAATCCTAAAAAACATGTACTTAATTAAACTGGTGAGGTACAAGTAAATACTGAACTGGAGTTTTTGGTGTGTACTTAAACTTATCCACTGCAAGAACATACTGACAATTTATAAATAAAATTTCAGGAAAACTGTCCCATCTGCACAAATACATCAAATTCCCGGCTTATAAAGATGGACAGTTCCGTGACCTACAATCATGACCACCACAGGTGTAACCCATCCCTCACCTCGGCTCTAAACCTGCATGCACGGACACGCTCCCCTCTATCTGCTATGGCTCACAAAGAAAATGTGAATTATGCTCCCCATAGATGTTGATGAAACCCAGACACGACAGCTCTGCGTGTTGTTTTGACTTCAACAGACACACGTGTAAATGTGGCCATATTTCACTGTCCAGGGCTGGTCTCGGTCACATGGTGTGGAACATAAAGAAGAGGAACACAGGACATACTTGCGGTCTGTCTCAGGAGTGGAGAGTTGACTGCTGAAGCCCAGGGATTCCTACGGCAGAGAGGAGATAATGTGTTAGTATAACTATGATTTATAACAATTTTCATCTGTGAAAGAACTGAACAGTAGGGCTGTGCTGTATGTCAAATGAAATTGAAACATTTGTATAAAGGTTTACTATAAAACATGGATGTTATTCCTTACAAAAATAATCAAACTTTGGACTGGATGAAACACATACTTGCAATTAGGGATGAACGGCACTAATACTGGTATCGGATAAAGCTGCCACTACTGAAAAAATTGGATGGATTGGATATCGGCTTCCAAATATCGATTCAGACGATATCATGGTCGGACTTTTACTGGTCATAATTGGCCCAGTATATCTCTTTGAAATTTTATTTATACAAAGATGTTCAGTTAGTTGAGTGATAGATAACAGCTACATAACACATTTGGATCAGTTTTGTCTTATTTTATTTTTGTTTACAGAAAATAAAGGCTGCATTCCGTCTCTGCACTGGTACTGGTTGATATCGACTATCTGGAGGTGTTTTAAGCATTTGGTATCGAAACTGAAAAAGACTAGATTGGGACTTGGGACTAGATTACATTCTAAATTTACTGTCAAAAATTATTGATCAAATTAAAACAGAAAAATTAAAAATTAAATAAATAAAATATAATAATCATAATCATAAATAAACTATAAAAACTTCTATTCAGCATTATTATATACTGAATATTGTGTGTATATGTATTGTGCTTGAATTGAATGAGATCATTTCTAATATAGCACAGCCCACTGGAGTCTAATAAAATTTGCTTACTTGAATCTCAGAGCGTAGCTGCAGGGAAGTGGTGCTTGAATCCTGTTTCTCCTAAAATGACAAGAGGGAAGGTGTCAGTGTTTAACATTCAATAACAAAGGAATATATTCACTACAACCGCGAGGGCCAGTAACAAAAACATTGGAGTCTCAGTATAAAACAAGAGCTGTGCGTATGGAAAAGGTCAATTGTTTCCAGAACAGTGTGTAATATAGACAACAAAGGTGATGTGGGATAGACCTGAGGTGAGGTTTGACACACCTGTGCTGAGAGTGAAAACAAACAGCAGCACGTGCAAAAGACACCGTTTAACAAGTTTGAGCCTGTGTCCAAACCTGCTCTACCCGTCCCGCTGTATTCATCCACCAGGCGCTGAAGAAAGATACAGCTTTTCAGGCAATAGAATAGGCCAGGTTGGGAAAGTGTAATGATTGGACGATCTGATTACAGCTTTCATGTTGGTGTCTTCACTACAGAGTAACACCTGTCTTTGTGTCTGGAGTTACAGCCTTGTGGAGACATGCCTTCAAGTCAGGAGTCACATTACATTCACATCTCCCAAGCTGTCACACTTGTGTAGTGAGAGTTTTGGAACAACTACCTAGTTATTAAATGTAATCTTCCTCCGACTCTGATTTGTCCAAACTTGTAATTGGTAAAACAACAATGGCACTAATTATGCCAGTGAGATTGTATCATCAAGTCATTAGTATTGTCTTAATGAGCTTCACAATATATGACATAATGTACCATAATAATGTAGCAGTATTAGGTCTTAGTAGTTGCGGGCTCTAGCAGTACTAGTCAGCAGAGGTGGGACCAAGTCATTGTTTTGCAAGTCTCATATGTCTCAAGTCTTAGACTTCAAGTCTGAGTGAAGTCCCAAGTCAAATACAGGCAAGTCCAAGTCGAGTCTCGAGTCACTGGCTCATAAGTTCAAGTCAAGTCCAACTCGTCTTCTTTGAGTTCAAGTCATTTCAAGACTTTAAACCAAATATAGCATAGATTTTGCAATTTATATGAATTTTAAACTAAATTGTACTTTAAAAAATCATAGTATCTTTATATCTGAGTATTTATAGACTATATAAGAGTTGTAGAAATGTAAATTTTCCTTTTTTAAATGTTTTGAAAAGAATTTAGTCTGAATCATTACAGTCAGAATAGAAAGAATTCAGATTTAAAAGTGCTTCTCAAGTCTTCAAGTCATAGGCCTCAAGTCTGAGTCAAGTCCCACGTCACTGACCTTCAAGTCTAGGTCTAGTCTCAAGTCTTAGTCCATTTTATCAAGTCAGGTCTCAAGCCCTTAAAATAGTGTCTCAAGTCTGACTCGAGTCCAAGTCACGACTTGCAAGTCCCCACCTCTGCTAGTTAGACTACTTTTAATATCCCTCATGGTTGGGTATTCTATATTCAATTTCATCATAATTATTTCAGTAGTAACTAGTAGTAATAACTGTGTTTGATGTATAAATAGTAGGGGTGTAACAATGTCCAAGTCTCATGATATGATACTGTAACAGTCTGAATCTCACTGTACAGTATCTATTGCAATATTTTGTGGAGGCTCTTAAGTTTTTGCTCTTAAAATGCCTTGACAAGATTGAATCCAAAGAACAAAGTCTTAAAAGTGTTTAGAACTGTTATTTCTTCATGTAGGCTAGGCTGAAATGGAGCAATGGACCATGGTCTATATAGTTCTCTCTCTTTTTTTAGATATTGCTGCACCATAACTCTTAATTTAAGCAAAGAGACTTGTAATTCAATATATTGTGATGGTCCATGACATTATTGTGAGAACTTTGACGATACGATATCACGATATTTCGGTTATTGTCACATCCCTAATAAATCTTAAGTCTTAAAATGCCGAAACATTTTTTTGACCTATGAAATCTACACTCAGGTCTTTCAAAACACACAGACCGTAAAGCAGATCTGAATAGGATGATACGTGCTCACATAGCTGCAGTGGAAACTAAGTGGAAAGATTTACTACATTTTTGACCTCTCCTGTCTAACCCCAGTGCAAATGTCCATGATGTTCTTTGCAACGTGGTGGGACAGATGGGGTCAGCGTGTTCCCGAGGGCCAGAGAGTGGACAGTCCAAAATACTGACACACAGGGAGATCTCACCCCAGGGAGCAAAGGGTCAAAGGAAGGCTAATTTGTCAATGAGCATGTTAAACTGTGCGCAAAGACAGACTTTTATCATGTTCACTCCTTTATTTTTTAAGATAAAGGTGCAGGGCATAATATTTTGGTTTATAACATATAGCATTTATTGATTGATTGATTTTTTTAAATTGGTTGCGACAAAAATGTAACAATAGAAGTTTAATGTCATACTGTGGAACATTCGAGTCAAAGCAATACTACCATTTTAATAATAGAGAAAGAAACAGGTGGCTTAGACTCGCCCTTAAAAATTACACAGCACACCTTTGATAACTTGTATTCTAGTAGTAATAATACAGCTTTATATTTGTGCAAGTAACTTAAAGTACTATTATTGCGTTTACAGTTTAAATAGATGGGTAAAAACTAAAACTAAACAATAAACAAAAGAAAAATGTGTGTTTTTAGATATTTGGGAAATGTGATAAGCGGCCAAAACCGTATTGCAACATGGGGGGAAGTTATTTATTTCTGATAAAGTTGAAAGAATTCCCAAGTGACACTGAAATAGAAAGAAAAAAGTCATTCACACAGTGCTGACCCCTCTGTTTGCGTTTTTTCTGAGGAAGTGAGAACAGTCTGGAGGATCAGTCTAATATGAATCACAATATTTAAGTTCCTATTTTTACTTTCTATCCGAGTTTTCACAGTAGACCTGTTAATGACTTTCATTTTTACATTCATTTCATTTTTTGAGAAGGAAGTTGAAGAGTATATGAGGTGATTTACTCCTATGATAATTCTAGAGTTGTATCCGATGCCCTGCCAAATGTGACACCCTCAATTTACCCCAATCGACACAGCTATATTTACAAGTGACGGTTGCTACTACGCTACTACAGTTAGTGTTAAATGCATGAGTATCCAGTTACTTTCCAGCACTCCTCTGAGTATAAGTAACAGTCACAGGAAGACAACCTTTGCCTTAACCTTTTATTATCTTGTATTTGAATAAGCGGACAATACTACCACACCCTTACCTTGACGAAATGACCACTAATAGTTAAAGGGCTCATATTACTCCATTTTCTGATCTATGCTATAATGTTTTTTCCTCATTACAAACCTATCCAGAATAGTGTTTTGTTTCATTCACACATAACAAAAGGTAAAGGGTAGCTGTTCTACCAATATATTACATCATAAGGTGGAACAAAGCATTTGAGCTTTGGAGGTGTTGACAGACTAATAATAGAGGATTACTCAAACATGTGTGAATGAAACAAAACACAAGTCCAGGGGTGTTTTTGAGGAAATTACAACATTCTGACAAGACTTAAAGCTCAAAAGAGTCCATTTTGTGTAATACATGACCTTTAAGAGTTAGTGATGACATAACATCCTTTAACAGCTCCTTTTGCCCTGAAGGGTCATCTGATCCGAAGGGGTGAAGTGCTGAGGCGGCTAACCACCCCAAAATGAGCCCGAGCCCTATACTTATCCCAGCAGTGCTCAAGACAAGAGACAGTCTGCCTGGTTTTATCTTTAAGTCTTAACTAGAACAGTGGGAGGCCTGTACCTGGCGTGTTTATCTATTTGTCTGTTATGGCATTTACAGCACAGATCCGGAGGTTACAGTAGCGTGTAAATCAGGAATGCTCCTGTCCTGAACGCTCGTCCACGCATGGGAATACTGAGAGTCCCATAAGTCGGACAGCAGGTACCAATCTGCAACATTCGCATATGCACAGGATGTGAGGGAGCGGGTGATAAGAGGCCTAAAGCATGTGAGGTGTGCAGTAGAAGAGACTGTATAATGCAAAAGAGTCGTGCTAGTAATGCATGTTAATGTCACGCTGATACAAAACACTATAGTTCATGTAATCCAGGGCTACTCAAGGCTTTCAACTTCATGTTACTGGAAACATTTTGAGGACTTTTTCCAATTCAAAAGATATATTTGGTTTTAAATTGTTAATTGCAACGGTCATGGCTTTCAACTTCTCAATATATATAACATTTTGAGAAGTTTTTCTCCATACAAAGCTGTTTAAAATTGTTAATCACTATGGTAACAGCCCAAAATGTTTCAATATTCTGAAACCCATGGATAAAAAAAGAGACAAATAATAGATCTCAAAAAGTTTGGATAAGAGTAAATAAAAATCTAATACATTTAAACCTAAATTTCAAATGTTTAGGTTTATTTGAAAGTAGTGCTCTGTTGAGAATTAAAATATATTCATGAGATAAGCCATTGTTTTCTGTGTTTATATAATTCACAACTTTTTTTTTTTATTGTGTGAAATAGCCACCCACCCGTACCACTTACATGAGTAGGATATGAATCTGTATTTTCCTGAAATAGAAATAGAAAATAAAACACACTAAAAAGGACCGGCATCAGCTGTGTTTACAAAGGGTGGCTTTAAGAAATAACACACATATAAGAAGTCAAAGTTTGCCGTAGCTTTTTGAAATCCACAACGCGCATACTTTCACAGAGGTAGGGCAGATTGGTTTTACTATCAGATCTCCTTTGATCGCACCCCTACAGTGACAGAAGATATCACTGGGCACGCTGCCTGCTGTCTCTACAGATGTCTGAGAACAAGCTACTGCACCAGCTACACAAAACCATGGCAACGTACCAGGCTAATGGGAAAATAATTTGTGTTTTTGTAATTAAGTTTTTAAGTTTTTGATTAATGTTTTTTAAATGAAGATGCAGTTACAGTGGAAATGTTAAAGGTCCTATATTAGGCAAAATGAACTCTTGTGAGCTTTAAGCCGTGTTAGAATGTTGTTACTTCATCAGAAACATACCTGGACTTGTGTTTAGTTTCATTCACACATGTTTGAGTAGCTCCAAAGTTCAAAATGCTCTGTTCCACCTTGTGATCTCATGAAACAGAAGTTTTCAAATTAAAAG